ACCGTATTAATTAAAGGAGATAATACGGGGGCCATAAATTTGGTATATAATCCGGAATATTACTAACGTACTAAATATACTGCTATACGGTATTTTTACGTACGGCAAAAAGTTAAAAATAAAAATATTCGAATCAAATATATTTTAACTAACGATATACTAGCAGACGGCTTTATAAAGCCACTTCCTAAAGATAAATTTTAGAAATTTATCAAATTATTAAACTTAACCGATATTATTTAACAAAGGGAGTATTACACAAATATTAATACAGCATCGTATAATGCATAAAATTAGCTTTATAACGCATATCGTATCGTTATAACAGCTATAAAACCCATCGAGATATCGTTAAATAACGATATATAGGAAATCAGTAGAACTTACCCTATATTAACCTATAGTTAGTACAGCACCATTTATAGCCACTGTTCACAGTGCTATATAGTTAACAAATTATTATAATTAACTATTGTGGCCACTATGGCCACTAGAACCCACTAGAATCCAATAAAACGTTCCACTAGATCCAGCCCTACTAAGTATAGCCAGTGCACCTGGCCACAATAGCCCTAGGTTACAGGGTAACCCACACTATAGAAATCCATAGATTTCGATAGTTTCTTCGATTATAAATCAACCTTATTACTAATTAACTTAATTATAAATCCAGTTTATTAGTAATATATTCCAGAATATTCTTATTAGTTAATTTTATAGGTATAAAAGGTAGTTATTCCTCCGTAGTTAGTTATTCTTTCCTTAAGCTTCAATAAATTAATTATACAGCCCTATAACTACTCCTACGGCCTGATTCTACGAATCATACGAACGCTTCCCTGTGCCTAAGTTATATGATCCACCAATCATACCTTAGAACATATTTTTATAATAAAAATAAATAAAAGAATTATTGATTTTCAAAAAATGAAAATAAATAACTATAATAACGATAAAATCTAATTATAACGGCATTTTATTTGCTTTTATTTTGTTTATTTTATTACGATTTAAGCGTTTTAAAATAAAATAAATCTTTTATAATTTAAATAAAATCGTAGTTACGTAGTTAACTACTAACTAACTCTAACTAACTACTAACTACGCGTAGTTAGTTAGTTAAATAAGTAAAACTACGGTAGTTAGTTATTTAAGTGAGTAAAACTACGGTAGTTAGTTAGCAGCCTGAATAAAAGTACCGTAGTTTAGTTAGTAAGGTGAGTAAAACTACGTAGTTTCGTTAATTACGAACTACTAACTAAAACTACTAGTTATCTTGCCAACCCTGATTATAAAAATAAACTAATAATCATTTTTAAATTAAAATTATAAAAACTAATACCCGGAATAACGATACAATTTTATAATTATTTAAATTTTATTATTTAAATAAAGTTTTCATTTAATTTTCGACCGATATTCGTTACATTTTTTATATAATTAACAGGATTGCAAAAAAGTGACTGCGCAATGCACTGCAGTGCAGTTAAATTAACTGTATGATTTTCGGACTACAACTTAACTAACTGCAGTTAGTAAAAATCCGGACTGCAATTACAAAAAGTTAAGTTAATTGCAAAATAACTGCTAATTATATTTTATAGTCAGGGGTGGTATTTAGTTAACTAATAGTTAACTAACGTTAGTTAACTAAAAACTACATTTAGTTTAGTTATTAGTTAACTAACGTTAGTTATTAAAAGTGCTAACTAAAACTAAATTAATTTAATTAGCAGCCTGACTAAAACTAAAGATTTTAGTTAGTAAAGTAATTAAAACTAAACTAAACTAAATGATTTAGTTTTTAGTTTTAGTTAACTAAATAACTAAAGATTTAATATTAATTTTAATTTAATTAATTTATTAATTATAATAAAAATAATTAGCAGAATTAAATAATTAAAGCTTTCTTTAATTATTTACGTTATTAATTTTGTTATATCTTTTTATATTAAATAATTATAACGTTTTTAAAAAATCTTTAGTTAACTAAAGAATTAACTAAAACTAAATTAATTTAGTTAGAGTGCTAACTAAAACTAAAGTGATTTAATTAGCAGCCTGATTAAAACTACGTTAGTTTAGTTAATGGCTTGAGTAAAACTAAGTAGTTTAGTTAATTAAAAACTAAAACTAAAAACTAAAACTAATCATACCAACCCTGGTTATCAGTTAACTAAAACTAAAAACTAAAACTAAATTTTTCAACCCTGATTAATATATATAAATAAACGCTAAATCACCCTCACCAGTCGTCTCCTTCCGATTATCCATGCACTTCTTTTGGGAAATCTGCAACTTTTTCCGGTTAAGAGTAAACAAATATCCGATCTGAATGGCAATGAGTGCCATGGAAATCAAGGCGGAGGCCAGGGAACACCAATGTCCGAGGCGGTACGGAGCGCTGCGATAAACTTGGGGTGCCACGACGCCAGCAAGATTTCCAACGGTTTGTTGTATACCGATCGCTGTTGCGCGTCGATAGTGGGGAGCCATATTATTGTTGATCCCTATACCAGTTTCCATGAGCAAATGCTTCTTTATCCCCAAGGTAAATGTTGTCAGCAGACTTACAAACTTCATTGATACCGGGTCCGCAGTACAGAGGGATCGCGATCAGGTAACAGGCAAAATACCGGACACCAGGTACATCGGTACCGAGTAAGATAGCGTACCCGATAACTGCAAAGATATCAAGCACTAGTAATAGCTAGAAAGGGACATTATTAGCAAAATGGTTCAGCAGTGTATATGATTACAAAGTCACTCACCGCACCCCGAAGCTTCCATTTGTCACCGAGTACAGCGGCCGTCTTTGCATGAAACATTAATCGAATATATACTTGCTTGCGTTTGTGGTAGATGTGCGAACTTACAAAGAAAGATATACCGCCCAGCAGATCAACTGGCACGCTTAGATATTGGGCCTGAATAGTGCTGTATCCGAGGTCCAGCTTCAAGATGGACGGCAGGAAGGTGCTGAATCCATAAAGGATGATGTCCTGGAAGAATTGAACCAAGGCCCTGTATGTTTGATGACAAGTCAGCCCCTGTTACGACAGAAAAGAGAATACCTGGTGGGAGACAATAACATTATCCGCAGCGACTCTCGGGTGTATCAAAGAACAGGACGGACTTACGTCAGCCATACTTTGGGGTCGAGAAACGCGTTGCTGACTTCTGACCACTCAAAAACAAGACTGCCCAGATATTGTGCGCACTGGGCTTCACGGACTGCCAATATATTTTTGTCCTCGGCAGTCAAGAAGTTGGCTTCTGCGGGACGAGCGGGTAGGCCAAGGAGGACCCAGAATACCACTGTAATGGAAATACATCCCTCGATTATGTAAAGCCAGCTAGAACGGTGTTGCCATTAGGCTATCAGGTCTCAGGGAGCAAATAAAGATGGACAGTTGTCAAGGTACGCATCAGTGTGCGCGCGTGCAATCACTCACCTCCACGAGTACAGGCCGTGTACATCCCCAATGTACGTGATGCCAGTAGCAATAAGTCCACCAAACATACCAGCTAAAGCCACGGATGAGAACAAGTACGCCAAACGACGGCCCTGGAGAAAACCGCATTGTGGATTAGAATCTTGGCAGGTAAACCTCAATGAGAGTCGCGTGGTCACTAGGGAGGACGGTGGAACGGGAGGTCACCTTACTTGTTCTTCTTTCTTATACACCATGGTGATGTATAAACTGAGGCAAGGGAAGAAGCCAGCTTCCGTCAGACCCAGCAAGACACGTACTGTAACCAACTCTCCAAAGTTCCTGACAAATGCCGTCCCAATAGTCACTGCAGACCAACCCAGACACATGAGTGCGATGGCACGGTGTGGTCCCATCCTCTGCATGGCCAAGACGATTGGGATCTCCAGCGCGACATAGGTAGCGAAGAAGACGCTGACGGCGGTGCTGTACTGGGAGCCCGTCAGCCCTAGGCTGGTCGTTAATCCAGCGACGGCAGCATTGCCAATATTGCTTCGGTCGAGATACGCGACAAAATAGAGTGCGGCAAATAACGGTGCCAATCTCCAGTCCAGCTTGTGCACCAACTGCTTCTCGAGTTGGGGGTCGGGTCCAGGCAGAGTGGCAGCATCTGGGACGGCTAGCTCTGCACCGTTCTCTACATCATCATGCTTCTCCGTGCCATCCAGGCGAGGTTTGCTGTCGCTTGCGTCCATGTTGAGCTGGGTTGCCAGAGGCTTGACTTGGTGATTTCTTGAATGAGACGAGGAAGCAAAGCCTAGTGAAGCCTCTGTAGACAAACTGACTCGGTCTGCCAATGGTGAAGGGAGGAGAAAGCCGGTACCAACGGTCCCCTCTTATGCAAATTGACCCTGAACCCGTAACCTGGCGGATTGTGCAGCAACAAATGGACCTCTCATCTCGAGAGGAGGAGTTATCTTTCTTGCGTTATCATCGCGGCCTGCTGATAAGGTTATCAGGCTCGTCTATAGCGTAGCCCGCATAGTCGACATTGGCAGTTCATCCTTGTTGAGCGAGTGCAGATCCACCTCCATCCCCGACTGATAGCATCTTACTACTAGCGCGGGGAACGAGTCCGTCTAGGACATGAACTCTATCGTCGCCCAGTCTACCTGAGCATTGGGGTGGGGAGTAGCGGATAGGCTTGCTATTTGCTAGACTCGTCCGACCCTAACTCAAGCAGCCGTCCCGAGATGGTGTATCCACACCGGTGTAGGAACTCCGTCACAAGTCTTTGCTTTGCCGCTCCTTGTATTGTCTCCCGCTCGGCTGGCACCGCGTCAACTGAAAGCGTGGAGGGACATGTATGTCGCCGGGAGGAGAAAAAATATGTAGAGAAGCCCAATGTCGGACTCCAAACGATAAAATGTCGCTCGGTGTTACTAGATGAACAGTCCAGGCAATGATCCCATGTCACCTATCTCCTTCTTCTCATCCCAAGTGCATAATAAAAACGCTGCACAGGGTCATCCTCCCTCCTCCAATACCACCACCCAAATTATCAACATGTCGACTCCTGGTGTAAAGCTTGTCGGTTACATTGGCCTCGGCTTGGCAGGGGGCCCTCTGGCCGAGTGTGTCATCAAGAAAGGATTCACGACTCTGATTCGCGACGCTGACCCTGAGCGCGTTCAGGCCTTTCTGAAGGCAAATCAAGGACTCCCGGTTTCGGAAGCCCCTGCTGGTCCGCAGGGTTTCAAGGATGTCGATATCCTAATCACCATGGTGCCCAACGGCCATGTCGTGCGAGAAATCCTCCTGGGCAAGGACGGCATTGCGCCTCATATGAAAACTGGTACGTGATGAAGAAACACCACCATCTCCTTATACGCCAGCCAGCCAGCCAGCCAGTCATTGAGGCTTTCGTCGTATCATCTGATTAATGGTATTTCTCCTCTAGGGTGTGTCATCGTAGATACTTCATCATCGAATCCCTTTGGTACTGTGCAGCTGGGAAAGGACCTCGAACCATATGGCCTGCGCCTTGTCGATTCCCCCGTCACGCAGGTCCGTATGCACGGTATCAATGATGGAGAGGCTACTTTCATGATTGGAGGCGATGGCAAGGACATTGAAAAGGTACTCCCAGTATTGGAGGCCATGTCACGGTGGAGATTTGTCGTGGGAGACCTGGGCAAGGGTCACATCATGAAGACGTTCAACAACTACATGACAGCGGCGGCCATCGCGGCCTTGAACGACTGCTTCATCGTCGGCCACAAGTTTGGGATTGATCCGGTCCAGATAACCGATGTCATGAATGTCGGAACCGGGAGGAACTATGGCACCGCACATTCTATTCGTGCCGAAGGCCTGACTAGAAGCTACGCCAGTGGGTACGGGCTGGCGCTCTTGGTCAAGGACCTGAATATCAATCTCGACGTTGCGTCCAAGGCGGGCATAGACACAACTTTGGCGTCTCTTATGCACACCACATTCATGGATGCCTTGAAGGAACCTGATGTCGAGCCGAGTGCGGACTATACCGAGTGTCTCAAGTTGTGGGAGAGGAGAGCGGGCTTGAAACTGAAAACACCCGTGGGCATCAAGGAGTGCGAGGAACCCAGAGACTTTCCCAGTCCCTTCTAGGCGTGTAGGATGCCATATTGTTAGTCAATGTTTAAATTAATTCAGAGGGGGCAATGGATCCAAGTATAGTCGACGTTGCAGATTATGGGCAAGAGGAAATGTGAACGGGTGGCTTCTCTGTGCAAATCCAATATCGAAACATACGTGTATGCCTATATATCAATTTAGCTTGAACTTGGTGCCTTTTCCTCTGAACGGGTGACTTTTCATCATTGTTGAGAGATCCTCGTATGAGCGCTGTGGTCGACGAAACGAAAGACAAGGGCAGCAAGGCCATCAGTCTCCTTTAAACCGGATTTCCTTTGCTGCTCCTTTGGCCACCTACTCTGGATCATACTCCATGACGAGATTAGCAGGACAAGCATACACTATATATTTCTACACGATGCGCGCCACATGTGGGTATACTGCTCGAATGTTGATCTAGAGCATGATGCGTATCGACTTGGTGTTGGTAAACTCACTCAGCACATCCTCGCCCAGATCCTTGCCCACGCCACTTTCCCTGCAGCCGCCAAAAGGGAGCTCATGAGTGATCATGTTGTAACAGTTGACCCAAATTGTCCCAGCCTTTATAGACTTTGCCATTCCTAGGCCCTGCTTCAGATCCGAGGTGAACACTGCGGCCGCCAACCCGTAGCACGTATCGTGTACCTTGGCCAAGGCGTCAGAGGCATCCTTGAAGGACGCGACTGCAACAACCGGTCCAAATACCTCCTCCCTCATGATATCCATGTCCTGGCGCACGTCTCGGAAGACGGTCGGCTCAATGAACCATCCATGTGGGCTTTCCCCACCCTTTGCCAGCACTGCGCCCTGAGTCCTGGCATTTTCGATCATGCCCATGATCTTTGCGTGCTGAGCTGCACTAATCTGGGGCCCAAGAAATGTTTTCTCATGGAACGGATCGCCCATGACATTCTTCTCGACTCTCCTAATGAACTTTTCGAGGAAGGCTTCGTACACATCCTCCTGCACATAGATCCGGCTACCAGCACAGCAGTTTTGTCTAGGGCGTATCAGCCAGTTTTGTCGGGTATATCACTACACTCGTCAAGTCAAGGACGGGATCCTACTCACCCCATGTTGTAGAATATGCCACCATTGACCCACTCAACAACCTCGTCTAGGTCTGCATCATTGAAGATTACAGACGGTGATTTTCCGCCCAGTTCCAGCGTGATTCTTTTCAGGCTACTGTCAGCCGAAGCGCTGAGAATGCCCTTACCGACAGGCGTGCTTCCAGTGAAGGAAATTTTATTGACGCCAGGGTGAGCTACCAGAGCAGCACCGGCCTCGGCGCCAAAGCCAGTCACAATGTTGACGACACCGGGTGGAAAACCAGCTTCCTGGACGAGTTTGCCTACGTATAGGGCTGAAAGTGGCGTCAGCTCGGCAGGTTTCAGCACCACAGTGTTGCCTGATGCGAGAGCTGGCGCCATCTTCCATCCAACCATGAGGATTGGAAAGTTCCACTTGAGGGATTGCCAGATTAGCATGTAATGGCACGGGGTAGATGGACAAGTGGGCGTAACTATCGTCATCGTACCGGGATGATGAGACCGCAGACACCGACTGGTTCCCGTACGGTCAGATTCAACGTCTTGGGGTCGGTCTCGAGCGTGTCACCCTTGATTTTATCGGCCCTGTAGAGACTGGAATCAGCTCACTCCTGATATGCGGGGAAAAAAGAAAAAAGAAAAAGAAGAAGCAGGGTTCAATGAACTTACCATCCAGCATAATATTGAACGCAAGCTGCTGCCGCCAGTACGTCGGCCTCCTTGGCAATATGAACTGGTTTACCTGCGTCCACAGCCTATCGTAACCCAACTCTGTCAGCTCACTGCTCCACGGCCCCGGCGACTTGAATTCTTCACCTCTATCTTCGCCAAGAGATCAGCATCCCGTCTCATAAGCTGGGCTAATGTTTGGAGAAGTTGCCCCCGCTGCCTAGGTGGTGTATCCTTCCACCCCTTGGAGGCCGATTGCGCTGCAGAAACCGCTGCATCTATATCATCACTCCGGCCTCTAGCAACCGAGCAGATGATTGTACCTGTATATGGGTTGACGGTATCCAGACTGAGTTGCCCTTGAGCTGTTGTAAACTCGCCACTAATAAATAAGCCAACCGGTTGCCGATAGCTGGTGCCATCGGGCAGCTCTACGATCGACTCAGTCTGTAAGGTCATGTCTACCGCTTTCCAGCTGATGATATGCTGATAGAACGGATTTGGAGTGTAGAATAGGGAGAATGCTCCAGGCAAACATTGGCATAACAATGTCCTTGCCCAAGCCAATTATGATCGAGACAGATTTCTTATACATGTCAGACGTCATTCATGTCATTGCATGCCCGTGCCTTGTCAGTGTCCACGATCAAGCTACGGACTCCCCTTCCCGTGGTGGAGAATGTGGGTGGTATTCAGGAAACGAGATCCCGTTTACTAATCTACATACTAGTGGAGCAGCTGTTGCTTTAGTGTGAACTCCGAGACACCAAGCCAGCGACGGACATCCACCACCGTGATGGAGATAGGTGCACATGATACGAGGTGATCACAAAAGTGCTATCTCGTGGGGGTGGCACCGAACTTTTCTTCTACAAAATCCCTTCGTGCAGCCCTACAGCCTTGGACCAATATAGACAGGCAGAAATTGTACCAAGAAGACAATGTTGAGCCTCTGGGCAGTAAAAACAGGGCAACACGAGAAGGTCCACGTATTCAGGGAGAACTAGGCCGTAACAATAAAAGGAGGCGATAGGTTGACCACGGAGTTTATTATTTGCCTATGAAGAAGCAAGTGCCTCTTCTTTTTCCATGGTTCCCCCCTTACAATGCCAAAAAGTTACCAAGATAGTCAGCCTTGCCGAGTGGCACCCCACGGGACCTTAGAATTGAGTAGCCCGTCGTCAGATGGAAGTAAAAGTTTGGCAGCCCCTGGGTGAGAATCGCCGCCTTGACAGTAATCTTGTGAGTCTGGCCAGCCCAGGGGCTTTTGATGTTGATCGGCTATTAGCTCTATTCGAATGATTTTTATTTGCGGGTGTTTAGTGACTCTCGGCCCGACGAAACTTACAAGTCAAGAAGCTCGTCGTCTCTGCTTTTTGCCGTGGTAGCATCAAAAGATTTGACAACCTCCAGTGCCCTCGCAACGCGCTGCTGCAGATCCTCAAAACTCCGCTCACTGTTTTCAAACAGGACTGGCTCGACGCCGCTGAGACGACCAAGGTTCAGCTGAACAGCCTTGGTCGCATTTTGAACCTGGAAAGAAAAGGGCAGTTGATCTTCAATAAGCCGCGCACCGACGAAGCTATTGACGTCGATGCCCTTCTCCTGGGCGTACTGCTGTGTTTTGGCGAGAATATGAGCATATGTCTCGAGTCCCTTCTGGAAGGTCGAGATTGTCAATTCGTGTAGTGATATGGAAGACATTGAATTCAAATGGCAATGTGACAATGATGAATTTTCCAATTGTTGTTGTTGTTGTTGTTGTTATCTGATAATCTTCCAGAGATTAGAACAGGGACAAACCATAATGGGAAAAGAAGCGACTTATATAAAAAGGAAGTGACGATAGCTCCAAAGTATGCGCAACAATGTATTGATTGAATATGAGGTGATGATGAGCGGGTATTTCGTAATGCTGATCAGCGGCTTGCATATGCCGTACACCGAAGCCAGCAAGCAAGCTAAGCCATATATATACACACACTATACAAAGTACAGAAGCCCTAGCCCGCAGAACAAACATCAGCAATACTACCCAGGGAAATAAATGATTCTGTTGACCGATAGCCTTAGAAATACGGTTGGTTTCATGACGTGCTGGTAATTTTTTGGAGCTATTCAGCGGGGCCGGGGGGGGGGGGGGGGGGGAGGGAGGCACCTTGGAGGTCGGACCGTCTGTACGTAGCTCTCGGTAACATTATAACCTTGGGGATTGCGCAATTCTCGGAAGCATTGCACCACTGTCACCAAGGTGTCTAAAGCCGCGTAGTAATCAGGAGCAACCACTGCTGTCGATATCTTCGTCGTGGATCAATTTTGATATTTTGATGCAGCTCCGACACACACATACACACAAATTCAAAAGAGAGAGAGAGAGAGAGAGAGAGAGAGAGAGAGAATGTTTGGATAATATCAAGTGAAAGTAAGATGCAAGGGAATGACTCTAGTTAGCTCCACTACTTATACTATACTATAATCATGTAAAGGAAGGACCAAAATTGCAATAATGCATTCAATGCCTCTCGGCATGAACAAAGTATTCATATCGGAAGAAGGATGTTGTTTGTTACTTCTGATGAAAGAAAGAAATAGTAGGGGGGTGGGGGAGAGAGAGAGAGAAACAACAACCAACAAGAAAATGAAAACATCACTGGCGGGACATTCTCCCACTTTAAAACAGCTTCGACTGCACATCTCAAATGCAACCCGCACCCCCGACAACTTGCTCGTTTCTAGTGGCTCGACTGATCCAAGTAGCAAGACCTGCGCAGTCAATCGCCCCGGCACCACTTACTCACTCGAGGTTGTCTTGGTCACTGAACGCGTCGCTCACGCTGTGGTGTCATGGGCTGCATAAGGTTTCATCCATCTCCGCTTTACTGCCTTGTAGGCCTCGACCAAGGCAACATAGGCGGCGAAGCAAGCGACAACCACACCCCACTCCCAAGTGATGCCACTGTGCTTGAAGCCAATCTCATTCACGTAGGGTATATAAATGACTGGAAAAGCAGCCAGGAAGCCACCAAAGACAGCCCAGAACAAGACCCTGTTCCTCATGATGGTCTGGAACACTGCAAAGGGGCCCGTGTAGAGCTCAGGGTTCATGGCAAAGAGCGAACGTGTAAAATGCTTGACCTCCAACGCCGTCACGAGCAAGAGAAAGACGAGCGTCGCAAATGTCGTGGCACGCGCCCGAAACACGGCGTCACACGACTCATTGTAGGCCGAGTTGCAGTCGAGACCGAGAACGGCTGGGTCGGTGCCAAAAGGCCCAAATGTCGTCGACGTGAATGCAGCCAAGCAGAGAGACCCCATAAAGAAGCCATAGACCATCTTGTCTATAATCAGCTCCCACGTGAAGACACCAGCCCGCAGGCTGTGCGGTGGTCGCCTCATCACATCTGGCTGAGCCTCTTCGAGGCCGAGGCCAATGGCGAGTCCTGATGAGGTGATTAGGTTGGCCCACAGAATCTCGAGAGGAGACAACGGGAACACCGAGTGCCCGTCACCGTCCTTGAAGGACAGGGCAATGAGCAATAGGATAACTTGGGCAATGTTGGAGACGAGGAGATGGAGCAGGAACTTTTGAATATTGTCAAAAAGACGACGGCCCTCCATGATTGCCGTCACAATGGACTCAAAGTTGTCATCGGTCAGAACCATGTCGGCAGCCTCCTTGGCTACGTCACTCCCGTTCATGCCCATGGCAATACCGACGTCGGCCTTCTTGAGCGCGGGCGAGTCGTTGACACCATCCCCAGTCATGACACAGAATGCACGTCGGCGGTGCAGCGCCTCAACCATTCGGACTTTTGTTGCAGGGCTGCAGCGAGCCAAAACAAGGGGCAACTGCTCGAGGCCGTCAATCTCCTCCTCGCCGAGAGCATCAAACATGTTGGCCTGCATGACCACGCTGCCCACGCGGGCAGGGCAGAGGTCGCTCTCGAGAATGCCAACCTCGTGGGCAATTGCCGTTGCCGTCTTGATGTGGTCGCCAGTGAGCATGTGAACAGTGATACCTGCACGCTTACATCTCTGCACTGCGGCAGCCGTTTCGAGGCGTGGCGGGTCATAGAGGCCGGCCAGGCCCAAAGCATTCAAGTGACTTTCGGCCGCTTCGCGATTCTTGGTACTTTCGTCGCTCAGGGCAGTGACTTTCTCAGCGATGCAGAGGACTCGCAGACCCTCGGCAGCCAGGGACTCGGCCTCTGCCGTGATGGCGGCTTTGAAGTCATCCGTGGCATCCAGCAGTGGGAGTATGGCCTCGAGGGCGCCCTTGCTATAGACATGCGCCAAGTCGGATCCCAAATGCTTGTAGACAACCGTCATCCGCTTGCAGGATGAGTCAAAGGGGAATTCGGCAACCAAGTTGGACGTCTTGTTCTGCACAATGGTGGACTTGCTAAGGCCGAAGCGCATAGCAAAAACGTGCAGCGCAACCTCGGTCGGTTCGCCAGTCGCGGTCCAGTCCGAGGGGCCTACAGTTGAAATCGTGGACGTCTCTCCTAGGTCATCGCCGAGCCCAGTCTTGCCGTCGCTGACAACCGAATTGTTACAGAGCGAGATACACTCGACGAAGGCTTGGGATCCTTTGGAGAGCTGCAGGGCCGAGGTAGGATCCGCCTTGTCTTCCCTGTCCGGACCCCATCTGACACTTCCGCTGCTCGGGTCGAGAGGGTGCATACATTCTTCTACCGTAGCCATCGAACCATCGCATAGCCAGATCTTTCTAGTGATCATCTTGCCTTGGGTGAGTGTCCCGGTCTTGTCGGTGCAGATATTGGTCACGCCACCTACAGCCTCCAGGGCTGACATCTTTCGTACGATTACGTTGCCTCGCGCCATTGCCTTTGTTCCCACGGCAATGCTGATGGTGAGCACAGCAATGAGCGATTCAGGTATGACGGCGACCCCGACACAGATACCGTAGATGAGCACTTCGTCGCTGATCTCGAACTTGCTGACAGAAAAGACAATGATGACCAGTAGAGCGGCGAGTGCGAAGAGTAGCAGAGCAAACTTGCTAAGCTTGACCTGGAGAGGGGTGCCGTCGAGACCGAGGATGCTCTTCATTGTGACTTTTGTTCTGCTGAGCAACCGCGCAGCAAAGGACAGGTCTTGTCCAGCAAAGGGATTTGCTCTCAGCATTTCTGCAATCTTACCAACCTCGGTCGACATACCCGTAGCGACTACTACAGCAGTGCCTCTGCCTCGGGTGATCTTGCTGGCCGAATACAACACTGTGGGAGAAATTCAGTATATAGTGACTGACGGCTATTCGCACATTTTCACATATCCACTGAGTAACGGTAGAAAACGCTCGTGGTGACGGGAGCATATAGGCTGGGAAACTGGTAGGTTGCGGAAGGTTCTACTCACTATTGATCCTGTCGCCTAGGGGGACTTCCGGATCATCCAAGATTGCCTCGGCATGCTTGCTAATGGGAAGCGACTCTCCGGTCAAGTGGGCTTCCTGGCACATGGTTAGCGAACAGCACGCTCTGCCCGTTGAAAAGAATCGCCCAGTCGCTCACATCGGTTGTCAGATTAAGGCCACCAATGAGTCGGAGGTCGGCTGGGACAATGTCTCCCACATGAAGGACAACGACATCACCTCGAACCAGCTCTTCGGCCTTGATGCCAACGGTTCGTCCCTGTCGGATGACCTTGCAAGTTGGTGCAGAGAGTGCAAAGAGTGACTGAATTGCCTTTTCAGCTTTGAAGTCTTGCCAAAAGCTGGCAAACTGTCAGTTGATTGTGCACTGGGTGTTTGAAGATACTACTCTCTTGCATGGGCAGTCGTAGCGCCAACGGCATCACCATTACAGGGAAGAGGAGTATATTATACTTCACAGAAGTCTGGTCGCGTGACACCTGGCTTGACAAAGCGTGATAGCCAGGCAAGCCAGTATACGGGGCAGAATGTAGGACCATGATGGAGTGGGCAAGGATAACGGAGCAATACGACTTAAATGACTTACCCAACGACAATGTTGAGGCCGATGACAAAGGCAATGATGCCAGCTTCGATATAATCGTGTATGGCAAAGGAGATGGCCATGACGGCAACGAGGACAAGTGTCAAGCTGTTGCTAATCTGCCTCATGAAAATCTTCCACGGGGATAGCCCTTTAGCTCCTTCAACCTTGTTAGGCCCATGCTGCTCCAGGCGAGAAGAGGCTTCGGCATCGTCGAGTCCATGCTGGAAGTTGGTCTGTAGCAGAAGCTGCTCTAGTTGCTCGAGTTGGACCGTATGAGCGGAGTCGACGGGGGCAAGGGGAGGATCACCCATTCACGTAGACGTTCAGAGCTCAGCAAGCTATGCTGCTGTGGCTGACTGTATATATATGTATGTAATACAATACTGGATGCTGTCTGGTCTGTGCAACTATGCAGAGTCACTTTGCGCGGCCTGTGATATGTTTCCTGGATCCGACAATGTTTCGTAGATGAATGGGACACAACCCGATATTCATAGGCGAAGCGACAGAAAAGAAGCAAAGGAGGACAAGGGAAGGAAAGATGGAAGGCGAATAGGTCGACTACTAATAACAACAAGTAGAGAGTGGCATGTAGGTACTTACCTACCTACCTAGTAGAGAGTCAGGTAGGTACCAAGCAAACCAATTTTGAACTCCAGCTTCGTCTGCCTCGCCATAAGCGAATAAACAAGGGGATACGCTTGCTCGATTGATTTTCCTTCCTGCAACGGAAAGGAAAGAGCAATGATCCCGTACATACATTACCAGGCACTCCTACATGACCCAAGATGGTATCTACCTACCTGCTTTACTTTTGGGTATGTACTCCCCTACATGCCTACAGAGTATGTACATTCGATTACCTACTACATGATCCGCCTGTAAGTAGTGTAGGTAATGTACAGAGTAGTAGCTACCAGATTGGCAGGCGTTTTCTTTTCCTTTCCTTATTTCTTGCTTGCCCAGAAGCCCACCCCCTCATTAACGGGTCACCCAAGACTCCAAGAGCATCTCCTAATGCATGTGGCCAATCGCCAAGGGTCCAAAGTCAAGTCAAGAAGAGGCGTTGACGCTGATATTGGTTAGATGTCACTTGGGAGCTCTTGGCTAGCTGGGATTGTCGAACCATATCAGCGAACGACCGCTGCGGGGGGAGGGCAGCGCAAGGGTGGAGTCAAAAAAAAAAAGAAAAGGAAAAGAGTCGACTCAACATAACTTTACCTGGGCTGCATACCTTATGCTGTTGGCTGGGTGCAGCTGGGCAGTGATGTATGTACGTAGGTAAAAATACGTGTGCATCTGCTAGCCGTTACACGTTTTTCTTCTTCTATCTCTAAATCTTGCAAGCAAAGCAATGTACGTTTGTACACACTTGGTATGTTTGGTTTGGGCAACGGTGAGCGGGCACGTTTAGAGTGCTGTAGGCGGTAAGTTAATGCAACCACGCCTGCTGACTGCTTGGGGAACTCGGGGACATGCCTTATGTACATACCTGACTACCTATGGATCTTATGTAACTGCTCGGCAACTCGGCCACGAACCGACAGGGGCTCAAGTGCTCCCAAGGCTATATAGTAATGTTCGGATACCCGTGGACCTTGATTTATCGTCGAGGTGGAACAGTCAACGGATGTGTTGGATATCTCGGCGCCAACACATGCGATACCTACCAAGTTACTTTTCTTACCCACACCGTGTACGAATTATATGGGAATGGCCGCTCGGCGTTGAGTCAAGATACTCAGCACGATGCCAGCCTCGGGATGTAGTAGGACCGTTACAGTATGTAGGTAGATACAGAGAAGTGCCGCAACGAAATTGCCCGCGCCAGCCACAACCGCTGCACTGTTTCCAGCGCCCCGCTCCCCGGGCTTACGGCGAGATAGCGGCTGAGGTAGGCCGTCAACGCCGCCACGATGATCCATGGGGTCTATAACATGGCGGCATAATCATCTTTCTTCCTCCGGCACCGTTCAGCGCCGCCGCGACGCATCGGACGTAAGCCTCTCGGATGGTCGACAATCAAAACTCGGTTCCAATGTACTTGGATAATGATTTTGGAATCTGGGAAAAGTGAGACCACGGGCCATGACGCCGAGGTTTGTCATATCTACATTGGGCGACACGACGAGAGTGAAAGGACAAAATGTGTACGAGCTATGTGCATGTGTGCTGGTTGCCAAGACCAAGTCGTAACGTACGTTGCCAATGGCCAAGTGCCTAGAAGAACACAGCCACGCATGGCATCATCATCATTATTATCATCATCATCGTGATCAAAAAGTCAAGTCGAGTCGCGACCTTGTCCACCCCTCACTAAAAAACACTTGGCCTTTCTAAAACGCCGAGACAACATAGGTCACGAGGTTTCCCATTCACCAACGGGGCTGCTTTCTTCTTCTTGTCTTTTCTTGCAGGTCATACTGGTTTCTCGGCTGGCACTGGCCTTCCTAGCGGCATTGGCCTTCCAGCTATCCTGTCGCAAGTCTGCTTGGCAATGTCACCGCCTCCAATGACGGGATGCATGCCTACCTTGGTAATCCAAGAACGGTGTGGATTGCCATGTGTATGCAATCTATTAACACTGGGTCTGTTCTATCGATCCAATCTGCATGCTTATCATTTCTTCTGTTTCTTGCCATCATTATCTTTTTTTTTTTTTTTTACCACTGGGCAATCATCAGAAGATGAAGGGAAAGGTTTCAACTACATTGGACGTTCCATGTAGTAGGCCACCATCATTATTGGGTAATTAGAGTCTCTTGGGCATCAGGATCGTGCTCGTTGGTGGGTGATCAGCTGCAAAGTATATAGGCGTGTGTCATGTCTACCTCTTCGCACACAGTGATGATATTAATGCTGCGTACTCTGCCGTGATGCAAATTCTTCTCCTTCTACTTCTTCCTTTTACTTCTGATTAGTCGAGATCTCCCCTTCGTCTATTTCTAACTTGCCACGCTGGCAGAATTGGCGTCAAAGACCTTCCTGGCCTTGAACCAGGTCTGCTTAACGCTTGCCTGTAACAGACTCGCAGTGTCCCACTCCATGTCGACGACTGCAAAATCCGCCGAGAGGCCAACATCGAGCTTGCCCGTGAGGTTGTCTGCGAAACAACTGTATGCAGAGCCAGCCGTAGCCCCAGAAATGGCGGCGGACAACTGCAGGGCGAACTGGGGGTTGACGGTGGTCTGCAGGTCGGGCTCGCGAGCTGAGCGGCGCGTCGTGGCCGTGTAGATGTTTTGCAACGGGCCGTGAGGTGCGGTCGGGGCGTCCGACCCCAGCGCGAGCACCGCGCCGCCGTCGGCAAAGTCCTTGTAGGCAAACGCGCGCCCGCACCGATCTTCCCCCAGGAGCTGCGGCCAAGCTCGCAGGATTGCCGGGTCCGAGTGCACGGGCTGAACCGATGCCGTGATGCCCAGCCGCCCGAGACGAGCCGCATCCTCTGGCATGGCGAGCTCTAAATGCTCGATGCGGTGCCTGCGACCAACAGTGGCATTCTGCTCGAGAGCATCAATGGCCATGCGCACCGTGTAGTCTCCAATAGCGTGGAGGGCGCACTGTAAGCCAGCCTCGTCGGCCTTTTTGACCACGGGTGCGATTTCCTCCAACGTCCACAGCGGGCTGCAGTCGACGGCATTGGACGAGTACGGCTCGGTGAGTGCTGCTGTGCAAGCATCTATAATTCCATCGCATATGATCTTGATGCCGGCAATGCGAAAGTCGGGGCTAGTCTCGGCGTTGAGCTCGTCCCTCAGCTCAATGGCTCTGTCCACTTGCGCCAGCGTCTCTGCTGGGTCTTTTTTGGGGGCAATCAGCCAGTGGGCCGCCAGTCTAAAGGGAAGAGCTTCCCTCTGCCTCAGGGTTTGTATAGCTTCCAGCGCGTTCTCGTCCAAGGCCATGTCAATGGCGCCCGTATAACCCTCTGCGTTAAAGACCTCTATGGCGCCCCTAATGGATGCCAGCTTCTCATCCATGGAGGCCACTCGGGCCAGATGCGGCCAGATGATGAGCATGACACAGGATTCAAGCAGGACACCCGTGGCTTGGCCCGATGCATCCCTCTCTATCGTGCCTCCCACAGGATCTGGGGTGTCGGCAATGTCGAGTTCCGCGAGCGCAGCAGTGTTACACCAGGTAGCGTGCAGGCTTTTCTCGTCAATGTAGATTGGCCTTGGATCTATGTCGTCGAGCATTGCCGATGTGACTTTTCCTGGTGTCATAGAAAACATCCATCCTTTGCAGGTGATTCTTTGTGCGCTGGGGTTGGCCTCGGCATACTCCTTGATGGCTGCCTTGATATCGTCCAAGTTCCGGCAGTGCTGCAGTGGTACGCTTTTCAGCGACTGGCCGAGACTAAGGAGATGTATGTGGCCATCAAAAAAACCCGGCAGGACAATGCGGCCCTGCATGTCGTGGCGAACGGCACCTGATGCTTCGGCTTGTGCTACCTGGGCGTCGCTGGACTGGCCGACATGAGTGATTTGCCCAGCAGCATCGGCAACGATGCAGTCGACAAAGTGGTGATTCCGGCCATCTGTGCCCGAACTCTGAAAGAACCTTCCATTGTGAAAGATGACGGCGCTCGACGAACCCATGTTGTCTGTATGCAGGTGGATATCTCCACGCTGTCCAAGACTGGTAACAATGTAAAGGAAAGATGAAAACACTATGTACGACGGAAGGCAGAGGCTCAAGAAGAGGAAACGAAAATCCTGGGAGTGTGGGTTGTGCTGTGATGATAGCCGAGGCTGGAGTGTTACCTTGTGTGAATTATGACAAGAAGGTCGGATTTGGGTCACGAATCAGGTAGTCACAGTTAATGAGTAGCCAATAAATTGACGATGCAGCCCATGCTGATAACGATGGATCCCTGAATCCGATCACGGCCTGTTAGCTCAGCGTTGGTGTGGCCATTTCATTAGTCGCCATTCATTGTGTACGTCGTTTCCTGCTGCAATTCACCATCTGGAGGAGAGGGGGAGGAAAAAGAAGAGAGAAAGAGAAGAGAGAAACAAGTGGGTATAGGAGGTATGAGCTGGCACCATGAGACTCGCACTCTTTCATCGAAGGATCTTGCACGCTTGGTGTCTATGCTTTCAGTTATAGACTAGAACCAGTGCCTGTGGGTGTTGCTTACGTCCAATAATCGATTTGTACCTACCTACCATTTACATAGGGCAGGTTCGGGGTTGGATTGTCTCCACCGATTATACTCCCTACTAGGTATCTAGTGTAAGTTGGAGGTATACGTTTCACTGTTGCCCGTAATGGGCCGCGACGTCACCAGTTAGACGCGTTCGGGTTAATCACTTACAGACTCTTTGAAACTGTTTTTTCGGGGGGGTCTTTTGTGCAAGTCGTTTCAGCTCTCATGGAAACCCCTTCTTTGCTTTCTCTTCTTCGGAATAGCAGAAGGTATATACATGGGTGGCGTCAGCCAAAAAAAAAAAAAAAAAAGGCCGTCTGACCTCGGCGATAGCAGCACCAGGAAAGGCATTCACGGCCAGAGAAATGAATAAAAGACGGCTAGCTACTCAGCTACGTGATCGTTTGTATGATACTGCAATCGTTACTCACATCATACGAATCATTATTCTTGCCATGAATTCATCATTACCTTCAAAGCACACCTCCGTGGTTGTCACCTACATTGGGACTGCCACAGCAATCATCGAAATTGAAGGGGTAACCTTTTTGACGGATCCTTATTTCTCGCCAGACGGGACGTCATGGGAGGTGGTACCCGGAGTATTCCTCACGAGTCACTACACTCCAGCTCTAGGCCTGTCAGCACTGCCGCCCATTGATGTAGTCCTACTCAGCCATGAGGACCATCCGGACAACCTAGACGAGGTGGGCCGTAGATTGCTGGATGGACGGATTGTATTCACAACTACCGATGGCGCCCGGAAGCTGGCACCGCGGCCCGGCGTTCGGGGGCTCAAGCCCTGGGAGACGGTCAGAGTGGAACGGGCGGGCAAGACGTTCGAAATCACCGGGACGCCTTGCCGGCATCTTCCCGGTGGTGAATGTACGGGGTTTGTGCTGTCGACGGCGAACTTGGGAATGACGGATGGCCGGCCCAATGCCATTTATTTCTCGGGCGACACAGTCTATATCGAGGAACTTGCCGGCATCAGGGGTCGATTTCATGTCTCGGTTGCACTCTTGAACATTGGGGCGGCAGCAGCAGCGGTGCCAGGAATGAAGGAGCCACTCTTGATAACCATGGACGGGAGACAAGCGGCACAGTTACATCGCGACATGGGAGCTGACGTAATGATTCCGCTGCATTTTGAATGTTGGGATCATTTTACTGAAGATAAAGCTGCACTACAGAGGATATTGGAAACCGAGGGCATCTCTGCCAATGTACGCTGGCTTGATCCAGGTGTTGCAACTAGAGTGATATAGAGGAGAGGCTTGTACTATGGTAGGTAGGTAGACAGATATATATATATATATATATATATATATATATTCACGAGAGATAAAAGTATAATATTTTCTACCATGTATTGCAAACGTAATCAATTCTTTCGTAATATACCTCTTTACCCGTAGCAACTACCTAGGTTAGTAGGGTTACGACCTTAAGTTTAGGTAGGTATTATTATCCCACCAGAGACTGTAAAGATATATGGTCTTCCAAACAATATGACTTGATTAATGATAAGGCTGGAAGAAAAAGGTGCAGGAATTGAACAGCTAGGATTTATTCTTCGCCAACGCTTGAACCGCCGCATCAGGAATATCCCCGCACTTCGGGGTATGTAAGCCAGGTAGGTACAAACAGGGCTCGAATGCAAGGTCATACCTACGTATTCACACCAATGCATGAACAACGTGTTACGTGAAATCTGGAGCTGAAGGTAGAAATGTCTCCCCCCCTACGTGGCACCGGCCCAAAAATGGAGAGCAGCACTAATCCGTAAAGTCTGTGCTGTCGTCCCCAGCTTCCAGCCTCTAGTGCGTATACCTTAATGTACTATACCTTAGCTGACAGCTTCCCCCAGGCTTTCCAGGCTTGCCATCAGCCCATCTGCCATTGAGGACCCCCGAGTGTACTAAACTTTGGGGCATCCCTGACGTCGGTGCCCGCACTGTTGATGCCCGTCCACTATTAGCTAAACGTAGGGGAGCTGCCGAGGGAAGCATTTGGAGCTGATTGACTCACATGCAATTTTCGCCTCGGCTTCTACCAAAAAGTAAGATTACGGCTTTCAATGCAGACCAGATCAACCCTTGGCCCTTGAAGCAAAAACAACAAGAAACTAAAATTCTCGTCGTCAATCGCCTGGGTCCAAGGATGAGGAGCATGGACACACCCATTCATATTCGTCGTCCATTATTTCCTTACTCGTTCATTCCATCCCTTCTCCTCGCCGCGCCGCCTCGCAGCAAGTCTTCAATCTACGCTTGATCAAACGTCTTCCGGCACGTCGATGCTGCGTGCAACTGTCCCTGTCACAGCTGGCAAATGCCCACGACGCATTTCACGAGCTATCGGGTAGTAGCAAAAGCACTGCAAACGGAGCAGACAGGACTGGCAAACAGACACACATGCAAGCAGGGAGCAAATACATTGCCATCCATTGTCGATCCGGCTAGTCACTGCTTGAGTACCTGCTCTCCCACTCTTTCCCTCTTTTCCTCCACTACTCAACATGGCCGACGCGTCCGGACCCGGCCCGTCGTCGTCATCGGCGCGACCCCGAGCAGCGTCGAAAGCCAAGAACCCATCCTCGGTCGCCGATCCGGTCATGCGCAACGCCCTCCGATACACCATCTCTGCCCGCGAATACGAATCCCTCCATAAATATGTCCTTTCGCGCTCCAGGCTGTTGCGGAAGAGAGTGCCAACAGTCAGCGCCGTGGAAAAATACATGAACGGCCCCAGCGATGACAGTAGTCGAGGCAAAGGCAAGAGCAGCAAATCAGCAGTCGTCTTGGGTTCCTCGTCTTCTTCCTCATCCTCACCCTCCACCGGAGGAGCTGACACCTACAATGCCAGGGCTATACGACATGCCCTGCGCCTCTTTGTCGCCACGGGCCTGGGAATGAAGCTCTACAATACCATCATGGCAAGGCTCAAGGGCCAGAAAGAGTACGAGTCCCCTCTCTTGAATCCCGGGAAGACAGGATTGATCTGTTTGTCGTTGTTGGAAGCTGACCCGTTTCCTCCAGAATGTCGGCACAAAAGACGAAGAACGAGCCGTTTCACAAGTCACCCACGTTGCGCCTTTCGCTGTCTCTTTCTACCATACTACTCCTGTACCGGCTGCTGTTTCGTTTCCTCAGCCGCTTACGCGCCCAACTACTGGCCCCAACGTCCGAGCCGTTCCGCAACCGCAACCCGCGGACAACACAGACGTTGACATCGCCATACGCACCTGCAGTTGGTGCCAGTCTAGCCGGTCTTGCCCTGGGCATTTATCCAGCCGAGCAGCTCCGCGTTTCGATCGCCATATACACCCTGTTCCGAGCACTCGAATTCGGTTGGAATCTCCTAGAAGACGACGGTGCCATTTGGGGCTGGAAAGCCAAGTTGGGCGGCAAGGGCGCAACCAAACGGGAAAGGCCGTGGTGGTTCGGGAGCTGGATGTTGCAGCCCTTTGCCTTTGGCCAGCTTCTGCATGCCACTGTGTTCGACCGTGACTGCGCTCCCGTCCCCTACATTGACTTTATCTGGAAGGGCACTTCGGAATATCTGCACAGCGCGCCGAGGGATCTGCCTGGCGGCGTCAAGTGGCCGAGTCCATGGGACGTTGCTGATAGCCTCGCCCAGATGGCGAGGCTCAACTGGCCGTACGTATAATGTGATATCCTTTCTTATCCACGCCTTGCCTGCTAACACAGGAGTATCTGCCACCAGACCCTATATCAGCCCGACCTTGTTTCCAAATCAGGAAACACTGCCGGCCTCATTGTCAACAATTGCACCACTCACGTCGAGAGCGCACCCGCTCATAACGTCCCTTAGCTGTGCGACGCTGCATCCGAGCGACCCCTCATGCATGCGAACCTATGTGTCATTCTGGCTGCGCTCGTTCCCACGAATGGGCCGCTTCTTCCTCGTCTTTTATTCGTTGCTGATGCTGCCTCGCTACAAGGCCCTCTACCACGCCCCGTTGACCGTCTTGACCAAACTGCTGGCACGTACCCTCCGCCTTTCCGGATTCGTCACGGGGGCCATCTCGACAGCGTGGGCCAGCATATGCCTCTTCCAGACCTGGCTGCCCCGCACGTTTCTCCCGACGCAGCGCTTCTTCTTTGGCGGCTTCTTGGCCGGTCTGTGGGGGTTCGTCGAGCGCAAGGAAGGCCGTGGCGTCTTTCTCTACAGTGCCCGCACAAGCATTGACAGCCTCTGGAAGGTTGGCGTCAAGCGAAGATGGTGGAAAGCCATGCAGGGTGGCGACCTCTGGGTCTTTGTCCTGGCACTAGCCATCACCGGTGCCGTCTACGAAAAGGATGTCGGGGCGATTCGGGAAGGCAATTGGAGAAAGGGCGTCAGCTGGGTTAGGGGCACGAGCTGGAAAGATTGGGAAGTTGAGGAGGTGGACGAGCAAGAAGAAGACGAAGAAGACGCGGTTGCTACGGCCGGGGTTCGGGAAAGGTGAAGGTCACGGGGCGAGAAGCATGGGATATACTCGGCGGTGGTGTGAGCATGCACGTCGCAAGCAGAGATGTGTACTGCCTACCCATGAAGAACGCCGCTGCGTTACTGGGGTATTGCGAATTGTTGATGTTTAGCGCCTTATGATTGACTGATGATGATTATAGTATAATTATATATTTACTTACCTAATCACCGAAATTGGCTGATACACTGGGCTGACATTTGAATCATGTACCCGCCCACTCCTATCGACCTGCCGTACTTGCACAGGCGGTCCGGCTCTTGCGCCCATGGAAACCATGACACCAAGATCAGCCAATAACAATATATTGTTGGACTTGGACACATGGACAAAGGGAGATGGGAATATGACGCTACGGACCTGCAAACAAGAAGCCTTTTACACAAGGCCCGGCCGCCATGGGCTTCCTTGTTCCCTGCACCATCTTCGTTCCAGCTACAAGGCCAAGAAAGAGAAAAGAAGGAGGAGGTGGAGAAGAAGAAGAAGAAGAAGAAGAAGACGAACGTAATGGCTCTTCACTTCTTCCTTCTGTGTCTTTGTTGTGTGCTGCTTTTGTTCCTCGAGCATCTTTCTACAGCAATGAATAAATGTCACCAAAGATTAGACATGGCCATTATCTATTTAATGTTTGTCGATGCGCAACTCAAAAGTACCAAGAATATCTCGCACCATATTTCATCTTCAAATCATCTTTGATGAAAAAGAAAGGCGACAGCGCTTTTTGCCATATTCAGATCAAGAGCCACAACAAGACGAGATCCTCCAGAGCTACTGCTGCCATATAGCCTCGTCCGACATATCAACTGCCATGTCCTTCTCGAAGCAAGACTATCGTCAGACCATTATCAGGTCACTCAGAGACCGTGCGAACCACTACCGGGAACGCTGGAGCGGGACGGCGCTCAGTAGTACGCCGTGGTGGGCATGTCCATCGCCCGAGGAGCAACATATTGACGATGATGTGCCCGACGAGTTACTGTTCCAGTATCATTTTGATCAGGAATTCGCCATTGCCTTCATGAAGATGTACTCGCTGGCCGCCCCCGCGAATCAGGATGCCAGCGACTTCGACCGGTTCTGCAAAATGTATAATCAGAGTCGCTCATTTGATATGGAGACCATGTCGTCCGACGAAGCAATGCGGAAGGCTCTATACAGTTTCATGGCCGGGCTGGACATGGTCTTCTTCAACGGTCTCTTCACGTCTCCGGTAGAGACTTCTAGAGGTCGGAAGCAGCGGGGTGGTCAAGAGCTTGTGGATCAGGACTGGGCAGAGTTGGAAACCCCATGGATACCCGCAAGTGCTCCTCTTGTCAGCATCGAGCCGCTGCTGGCTCCGCTGACTGGCGCAGACGTTGGCCAGTTTGATACCACCAGCAACACCCTCCGTATCTGGTGCCAGAACCGCGACGGCAAGCCGTTCAATTCAGACTATCTCCTCGTCGTCTTGGCTCATGAAATGATGCACGCCTATCTCCACATCTTTGGATACCAGAGCGGCTCTACTACTCGCGACCACCATGGCGGCGAATTCTGGGCAGGGTTGGAGTTCATCTATTACAGTATCTGGCAAGCGATGCCCTCTCGATCTGTCAGTGTTCTTGGCATTGCGGCGGCTACAGCCAGGAAGAATCGGCGCGAACGCATCGGCGACTCGGATTTTGCGAGATATAGCCTCAGTCCAGCATTTTTCAAGGGTCTAGCATGCCCCTTGCCTTTTGGACTGACTCCCGTCATGATTGAGGAGTGTTATACAGATAAGCTCTGACCTTGATGGCACAGGACAGTGATATTTGCTTCATTCACAACCAATTGATTGTCTTTGATTTTGACCTCCCAGTTCCAACAAATATGCCGCTTTCTTGTGATTACAATCTTCTGCAAACATCATGTGAATGATCTGGGGAGTGTAGGTGTCCGTCCAAAAGGCTGCCAATGAGGTAAGCCGCCATTTCCTTCTCCATCGTCTTTGTCTTCACTCTGCCGCAAAAAGGTCCGAGTCACCAAGGCTGAATTGTCCCATATCGCTTGCACCCGCGGCCCAGTTGTTCCAACCAGTGTGGTGGATTGAATGTATAGGGCCTGCCCATTGTTGCACTTTTTGGAATCGAGGCCTTTCTCCTGGGGAGAAGGACTAAGCAGTGTCTGCGTGTCATCCATCTTTTCCGATCTAGGGGCTTTGCATTTTGCATCCTTCATATCGGTATCACATAGAAAGTCCAGACCGTGTCAATTATTCGATGCACATTTCCGAGCCTCGAATAGCTCAAAAGGCAGTGGCTCGTCTTCGCCCCCAAAGACGAAGAACTTTGCGTGCTCCTCAAATGTCTTGGTGATGGACTTGTCAACCTCCTCGGCAGTGACGAGATTATCATTGCCGGTGACAGCAGCAGCGTCACTAGTAAGTTATCAAGTGTTAGCTCGAAGTAAGGGTAATCAATCAGATACGGTTCGCAATACTCACTAGGTATGACGGAGCTTGGCTTCAATGGCGTCTCGAACGGCTCTCTGCTCGGCCTCCTCGAGAATGGACCACTTCAGGACTCAAGATTAGTCTCTCTGTCCACGTACAAACCTCGGCGTCCATCTTCTACCCTAGACAGGATCAAGACTGAGACTCACAGCAGTATTTTCAATGATGGCCCGGGCTCGACGCACTGCGCTCCGGCGTTGGCTGTTTATCTTTTCAATCAGACGCTCCTGTGCGCTACGGTTTTTGCGAAGTTCGCGAAGTTTAACAGCGGCGGGTTTCTGAGAAAGGGGACGAGAATGTTTGCCTCTCTTTGACTTGGACTTGGTAGTCATGACTTGGTTGTTGTTGTTAGTAGACTGGTGGTGAATGCACTTGAGCCCAACTGAACCTTGCCTGTTGTCGACACAATAACCACTATCACTTCGAAGGTTTTCAGATACCTGCCACTGCTTCTCAACGATAGTGGCGTATCACTCACATGATATAAACGATCAGAGATTTGCAACTGGCAAGATTTTATCTTGACTACATATTCTTCGCCTATCTATTGACGAAGACGTCGGTGGTCGGCCATAGGCAGCCAGTCGGCCAAGATACCAAAGAATCATTGTTAGAACTGCAATTCTCATGCAGATGGCGACGGATCGTATCGCTTCGCCCACCCTTGTTTTGTGACAAGGCTTTTGAAGATTAAACCCATCCTGAATGCATAACTAACTGCAGCTGCCCATTAAAAGAATCAAAATGCTTTTTTGGCTAGTGGACATTGGATTTATTGGAGTGGTGTCGTCTTTGAGCAGCCCTGCTGTGGCCGACTTGATTGTTCTCCCGACAAGTGCCCTTTGTATGATGGGCGTATTTCTCGTTACAATAAGAAGTTTCACAGAGGCGACTTGCAGTTATGGACCGGATGTCAAATGCCAACTCGTAGCAAGGAAGCCGTGCAATGGGCGGATGAATGTTGGAATCGTGTAGAAAGGAGCCATGTCAATATATACTTGTTTATGATTCTCATTGTTGATTCTCGTGTCGTGTAATCTTGACCACTACGTCCATCCACGATTAGCCACGGAGCCGAATTATAAATCTGCCCGCCTCCATGGAAGCCCATGAACAAAATCTAATCGGAATCAGTACTTGAACTTGATACAGAGCGTTCATTGAGCCGTGCAGTCTTGGAACGAGGGATATGTGCGAGGTCTTGATCTTCTCCCGGTGTAACGTGAAGCATATGCCATAATACGACATTTGTGCAGCATTTAGCAACACACGAAAGCTGGCGAAATTTGTGTAACGAACAACGTGATGCTCGGATTGACCAAATTGCAATTTGTACTGGTCAATTTCTTTCACCATTGTCTTCTGATTGTATTCTACCTTTGTATGAGCAATGTACTGTGTAAACGACACCATGTCTTGACATGCTTTGTATCCCACGCGGCGTTTTCTCTCTCTTGTGACTGGGCCCATGTTCTGCGAGTCCAAACGACCGAGCTGCCGACGGATATGCAACAAGGGCTTACTTAGCTAGAAATTTGTCGCCGAAACAAGCAAACTGACCTGTAAGTATAGACGCGGCGGGAGCCAGTCTTGAATGGTCCTAGACGGGCTATATTTAGCATCTGCATTCAAGGCTTTGCTGCTACATGGGGTATAGACTATGCTAGTACTATATAGTAAGGGGTAGAGCTAGGATCGAGCTGGCAAAGATAGACAGCTACGGAATACTCAGATGTCCTCTATTTCCAACAAATGCTGATCTACTTGTTTTAGTGTGCTCCTCTTCCCAAGAGTCTGGAGTCCGGGCGCACTGACTGACATCACTTGGCTGCCCGTAAGCGGCAATTTTCTGTGCCAAAGTTTATTGCAACACCATGTAAACCTCCAGGGGTTTGAATGCTGTTTGCTGTGCAGGCCAGACCCATTGTAGAAAAGCTCAGCACGCCTCCGGTCCCGACTGAATCCCGATCTGATCTGGCTTGTCTGGGGATGATCTCGCTTTGGTTCTGGCAAGCGACCGCGCTCTGGACTGATTGATTGTAGTACGTATACCTGCCGCCTATGTTATATTTTCTCTCTCTTTCGCGCTCTCTGGACCTTCTCCTCCCCCTTGTCTTCGCAGCTTAGGGCAAGGAAAATCGCACTTGTTTCTGACGCTCCTCTCATGCTAACGAGTCGAGTCTAGACTAGGTAGGTTAGTTGATGAGGATCGAGGCCACTACCTCTTGCGCACGAGCGTGTTGATATGATTTCTTATTCTCCTCCCCTCTTCCCAGCAGCAGTAGTCGGGGGGGCCCAGGACGGGGCTGGATAGAAATAAGAGCAGCATCGTCGTGCGCTCCAGACAGCCAGACAGCCAGACAGACAGACAGACAGACTCTTGTTCCTTCGTATTTCTATTGCGCGGGTAGCAACAATTCGCCTACCAGGTACGCCATCACTACCGGCGAGTCTTGTCTTCTAGGATGCAGCTCACTCTCCTTGTACTCCTGGCCGGTAGCAGCCAGGCTGCCTGCAGCTCTGTTCTCCAGGCCGGCGCTACAACTGATACTGCCACCGCTTACATTTCGTCTTCGGACAGAAAATACAATGTCAGCTCGTGGGAAGCCCCCGTTTCCGGGGCCGGGACGCCGGGCAACTCATCGACGTGGAACCTCAGCATTGACGACACCACCTCTGGTCACAAGCAACCTGTCACGGGCTTTGGAGCTGCTGTGACGGATGCCACCGTTGCCGTCATCAACTCGCTCCCGGCAGATTTGCGCAGTCAGCTCCTCTCCGAGCTCATGACCTCGGCGGGTGCCGACTTCACCCTGCTGCGTCATAGTATTGGCGCCTCGGATCTCTCTGCAGATCCAGCATATACATACGATGACGCTGGTGGCCTGGTGGACACGAGCTTGGCCAACTTTTCGCTGGGCGACCGTGGGACAGCCATGGCTGAATTGCTGGCCGAAATGCAGGCTCTCAACGCCAACTCAAAGCTTCTTGGCTCTGTCTGGGCGCCGCCTGCTTGGATGCAGCTTGACCGGAACCTGACAGGCTCCACTGTCAATGTGAGAGATATTTTTTTTTTCTTCCTTGATTGCCGCCATCTGTCACCTGCTTACAACAGAGTCAGAATAACTTGAACCACTCCTACGTCGACTCCTACGCTCAGTACTTTGTCAAGTATGTCCAAGCATTCGCAACCAAGGGAGCACATGTCGATGCCATCACCATTCAGAATGAGCCTCTTAACAGCCAAGCCACGTATCCAACCATGTACGTTTATGCTGACGAATCCGGCTCTCTCATCCAAGACAATGTCGGACCAGCTTTGAAGGCTGCTGGTCTGAGCACTGAGATATGGGCCTATGACCACAACACCGATGTTCCCAGTTACCCCCAGACAGTCATTGACATGGCGTCCGACTACGTCGACACTGTTGCCTGGCATGTAAGTTGACTGTCATGTATAATACCTGCAGACATGATGATGATGATGATGATGATGATAATAATATCGTGCACAAACTTACACTCATCCCCTAGTGCTACGCCACCGATAATCAATGGTCTGTCTTGACCGATTTCCACAATGCCAATCCAAGTGCCAAGCAGTTCATGACTGAATGTTGGACCTCATCCGAGTACACCACCTGGGTGGCCGCTTCCGGCTTCACGATTGGACCATTGCAGAATTGGGCCCAGGGATCACTGGCCTGGACACTGGCTACCGACCAGAACGATGGACCTCATCTCACCTCGGGAGGGTGTGACAGCTGCCGAGGTCTGGTGGTCGTCAACACAGATACCAACACCTACGAGTTTCGTAAGTACTAGAATCTTTTGGTGTCTTGTTGTTTCCTTCTTCCTCGGGCTGCACCCTCCTCGCTCACCTACAGGTTTCTATACGATCAATGGACAAAAAGAAAATGAGGCTAACACAATTCTGACTCACCAGAGATCGATTATTACATGATGGCCCAGTACTCCAAGTTCATTCCCCAGGGAGCTCTCATCCTCAACGGCACCGGCAGCTACACCTACGACGGTGGCTCCGGCATCCAGTCCGTCGCATCGCTTAATCCCGATGGGACAAGAACCGTTGTCATCGAGAACACTTTCGGCAACGACGTCTATGTGACTGTAGACACCACGAGCGGCCAGGAATGGAGCGGCAACGTGTATGCCAATAGTGTTGTTACCTGGATCTTACCGTAAGCTACCAGACTGACACCCGCCAAATCATAGCTATTAGTATATCATACAAATACATGTAACAGTACCACAACCCTGGCCTCATCCATGGCCGCTTCGACTTCCTCCGCGGTACTCTTGTATTGCTATGCCATTTTTTTCGTGCTAGGAACCACGTACTATTAGTGGATTGCCTTTGCACGAAATGTCATCGCGTGCTACATACTTGCCCGATGATTCAAGCACCCACAGGACAAGAGGACCTGCTTCTCCCTCTTGTGGCTATGCGAGATCAATAAAACCTTCAAGTGACCACGCCTCTCAAAGGAAAATTTGACCATGCGTTACTTCCTCTCTATCCTCAACCGGATAATCACCGCTCTCAGCCAATGTCATGACTGGAAAACTCGCCAAAAATCACGACCAGGCATGTACAACCTGTTGCATACCTAACCATGGGAATATCGATCAGCGGGGCTAGGTACAGCCTCAAAATCACTTCCATGAGACGCAAGATTAAGCCACATATCTCTTTAGATCAGACCTCATGCAGTCAAGCCCAAAGGCGACTTGCATGAGGACCTCGAGCGACAAATGAGATCAGTTACATACACTCTTCGCCATCAGATCCCTCAAGGCGACATGGAAGACCACATGAACCCAGACTCATTGGGAAAAGAAAATTACCAAGATTTCCTTTATAGGACTGGCAAAAGATCTCACAGCAAGCAGCTGATGCCACAATTCTAGCGGCATGACATTGGAAGCACCCACAAAAATACAGGTCGTGACACAGACATTTTATGCCTACCATGCATCTATGGACCCGTTACCCTTTACATAAATTCTCAACAGTGATGTTGAGGTATGGACAACATGTTCAGAAAGGGCATCAACTACCACTATTATCAACATGACAGCTTCGCCCCATGCTCTCGGCGAATGCACTCTCATGGTGAGACCATCTTTCGTATCCTCCAGTCAGTTGACACTAATCCGGACACGCCCTCGCAAGTCTTGCTCTTGACATCTAATCATCCTTCTCATCAACCTCGTCAAAAGCCTTGGCATCTTCACACGGACCGCTGACTGTGGTGGTGGAAGCTCCATTGTCGACAACCTTGGTTTGATCCTCGAGCTCTGATTCGCCATCATTCTCTGCCAGGCCACTGTAACCCTGCAGAGTGTCGCCGTTGTCGACTGCAGTGAGTCTGGCCTGCTTAGCTAGGTAGGCGAGGTGGGTTTGCTGGACAGGACTCGGCATGTCCTCCAGGATGGTTCTCATAGAGTCCATCAAGCCAAGGTTGCAGCCCGTGTGGGCCTTGTGAGGTGCAAAGGTCTTTCCGACCCAAGCTTCGTATCGGATGCTAGTAACGGCGTCCTTGATATCGCCGACGCTATTTGTGAATTTGCTAGCGCTGGGAACAGGGTACAGACCGGCAGGGACCAAGATTCGAGTTGCAGAAGCGAGTAACATCATCTCGCACAGGGACGCCTCTGAACCGACCTTGCAGAAGCTGGCGTCATTGTCCAGGCGGTTGACCTGGGTGAGATGGTCCATGGGCTTTCGAATCGCACTGAGAAGCGCAGCTACAGTCTTGCCACGGACATCAACGATTCCATCTGTCCCGCAGTCTCGAATTAGTATCCATCCTGAACACAGAAGAAAGGGATGAACAGGAAACAGGTAGCATACCAAAGAGACCCTGCGGCAAGACTAGGTCCTGAACCTTGGCACCGCTAATGTGAACAAGGTCGCCATCTTTGTCGACCTTACTGGTAACGATGAGCGAGTCCGCCATCTGGCGGAATGGGGCCACACAACCCAAAACCCAGGCGACCCAGAGTGCCTTGAAATTGGCTGCAGCGGCAGTCTTTCCCTCTGCAAAGCTGGACAGAACAGCAGCCCAATTGTCGGCCCAAGGCTGAATCAAGTGGGTACAGTCATACTTGTTGAGCAAGATACAAATCTGAAACAGCTCCTCAATGGAGGGTTCCTTTTTGACAAGAATAAAGCGGTAATGAACAATGTTCATAATGACAGCGAATGCTGCCGGGTCATCTGACAACTCGATGACATCGGAACCGTCGTTCTCGCCAAAGATGACGCGTCCAAAAGCATCGGAGGCGGCTGCGACATTGAACTTGTTGACCTTGTAGTCAACATAGCCTGCGTTGGACTTAAGCTTGAAAAGCAGGTCGGCATCCTTATTGAAGGTCTCAGAGCCATCAGTCATGGTTTCATCGCGCTCGTTGACAGGGGTAAGAACGCGAGAAATCGGCTCAGTAGTCTCAGCAGCAGCAATGCCGCCCTGGGTCGGAGTGAGGTCGGACATGATGTGATGGATGCGTCTTGATTCTAACGCATGTCGGATTAGTCCTAGACTGAGATCGGGAGAATGTACAGCTCGCACGATAGGAGGAGCAGAAGGACATTATAGAAAAGGGAAGAGAAGGGAAAAAAGGGAAGAGTGACAGTCTTGATGCAATCAAATGATCTGACAACTGAGGGGTTGTTCCTGAACGACAGAGTGCCTCGAGACGAGGAAGATGCTGATCCACGGAGCTTCTTTGATGTTAGAAGCGTGGGCGCAGGCGGGCCGAGGGGTAGGAACAAGAGTTTGCAATGGGGGAAAATGATAGAGACCAAACGCAAAGACAAAATAGCCAGTGCAGAAGATAACAGAGCCAGCCAGTGATAGTTGTCACCCTGGAAGTCGCCTCGGGAGGATGGAGGAGATGATCCCAGACAAAAGAACCCGCAACACCACACAGCAACGGATGCCACGTCACGGGGCTTTGCTTCGGTGAGGACCGACCAGAAGGTGACAGATGAAATCACTGGAGGGAAAGGCGTAGGGGAAGAACGAGGAGGAATAAAAAAGAAACGAGAAAGGAAAAAAGCTTGGGCAGGATGACTTACCAGAAGGAGCTCTTTGTGGCGCGGAATGAAGATGCTCTGCTGTTGCGTGGCGCCTTTTGATGGAGATTGGAATGGAAATGCCCAGGACTGATGCGAAGGGTGCACCTAAGAAACAGAGAAAGTGGTTAGGAAAAGGGAAGAAAAAACAAGAGAAAACTGCTGACCGACGGGCAGTTGCGTTATCGACCAGAAACTATCGAGTTGTCGAAGGCGTGATGGGGGGAGAGGAAAACACCTAGGCCCTTCGTGTTTGTGCCTGGGGAAATCTGAATGGGAGATGGAGGGTCGGAGACAAGAACAAAAAAGAAATAAAAAAGTTCCAGCTACTAATAATTCTTCCTCTTTCCTCGATTATGCCAATGGAATAATCAAGGTAGCAATGTGCCCTTTCGCGCTTCAAGTTTGCACGAAAGTCGAAAACCACCAACTGGGCACCTGCAAACGTTAGAGAGAAACCCAATGAAGCGCGTACATCGTAAATCAAACATGAGTATGCTGAAAAATCATCAGCAAAATCCAGGACTACCTTATGCGCACCTGCCCAGTTACTGTCACCCAACTACCCACAATGCATTATACAAGTACACCAATAGCTGCAGTTCAAGGCTTATTCATCACAACAACCTAGAATACATCACGCGTATGGTGGACGGCGTCCGTACGCCACTGGCAATATGCACGCTGATATCAATGTCACCACGGCTGCCTAACACAGCCCTCCTGGCATGTTACTATGTATAACATTCTTTCGAGCCGAGACTTGGGTAATGTCACGGGGAAATGTGTGCATTTGCTAGAGACGAGTATTCGTAGCTATTACCTGGGACCATGATCTATATACATCTTTTTGGTCGCTAAATGGCCCTTCCCGGCGGAACTCTGGCGCCAAAACGTGTAGACAGCCATATACAACGATATTGACGCTTTGCCAATACGTAAAGCATTGAACCGTCCGCATCAAGGAGAATCTCTAGATGACCGCGCTATTCCAGACATGCTACACGAATGAAATCATGATTCCTTTCGCCTTCAACGCCGGCATAATCCTGACAATAAACCTCATACATGCGAAATGCGCAGTAATATGCGATGCAGTCCCCTCGTGGGATCAGACCAAGTCGACCCAGACATGAAGGAGAGAAAAAGAGAGAAAAAGGAGAAAAAGAAAAAGGGTGACGCCGCACCTGTAAGACAAGTCTCTGTCTCTGTCACTGTTCCTGCCTTACAGTCCCTGCCGTGGTCGTTCCGCCTCCCAGCCTAGCCAACGGGCGATGGCAGTGTATATTAAGAGAACGCCGATTGCGAACCACCATCTGCTTGACATCCAGCCACGACCGGGCGCGTCACGTTGCTGAACCACAGCATCCACCACAGCCTGGGTCTGGCCACTGCTCTGAGCAATTCCTAGCTGTGGACCGCAGCTCGCGCCCCCAAGCGGCTCCCCGGTAGCAGGATCGATCTTGTTCTCGGCCATCCATGTCTTGTTTTCCTTGTCGACGTCGGGCCACTCTGCCCGAAATTTGGCACCGCCATCCCCGGCCTTGATGTTACCTTTCTGGGCTGCCTTGTGCTGCGAGCCCCCACCAGTCGAGTTCCACCAACGGGACCGCCTTGCCAAGTATTTTCTCTCTCTCTCTGTGCCGGAAATGGAGCCAGTGGTCATTTCCTCGCTCGTCATGAAGGACAGAAGGCCTATCAAGATGGTGCTAACCTCCCATGCCGGGTTGAAGCTTTTTGGATGAAAGTCCGAGATCGAGAGGCACAGTCTAGTCGATGGCTGGAAGCGGCCTGATGGCGTGTGCATACGTATGGCCGGGGGAGCAAAGGGGTAATTGGCGGGAAAGATGAGGGTGCCCCAGTACTGGCCGCCATGGTACGGAGTGTCTTCGGGGCCCGTGATGATGTAATGCCACTCGAGGATGTTGGAGTCCGAGGGATGGGCGGTAATATAGGGGGGCGGATTCTGGGCAATTGTCTTGTATTCGCGCGTAAGGCGCTTGTGCGCTGCCTTGCTGGCCATGTTCGCCGATGCTTGGGACGGGTGGCTGATCGTGGTTGCCGTTTGCCGTGATGCGATTGCAACGGGCGCACAAGTGGGTTGGTTGAATGGGCGCAGCAGCAAAAGTTGGTTGCGCCTCTCACGATTCTCGAGATCTGCAGACGGTGCAAACAACGGCTAAAGAATGATATAAAGCGGCCTCACGGCAGCCTTGAGAAATCGAGGGGAGCGACTGGGTTTGTGTGTAGACACGAATGATATGGTGATGAAGAAGAAGCCCTACAGGAAATCGGTCGGTGGCGGCAAAAGAACGCCAAGTATGTCACGAATGGACGTACGTAGTAAGTAGTGTAGTAGTGATAGATTGACAAGAGTCGTGTGAAGTCCGGGGGAGCCAAGGAGCGGCTGTCTCACTCGGACCGAGAGGACAGTCTACCTAACCTCTAGGTCTCGCCTGTACTTGTACCTTCCTAGGCAGTAACCACAGCACGGGACGTCACTTCTTTGTATGTACATTATGCACGAAGCTTCTTTTAAACATCTCAGCAACCCGTCGCATCTGCCTCAGACGCGCTGCTTCAAAGGTCAATGAAAGATAAGGAACACGAGTCTCAACCCAAGCACCGTACCTATATAAAGCAATTATACATAAGCATCTAGGTATGTGTGTACATCAAGATCCATGGAGGTAACCTTCAGTGTTTGCAGGTGGGCTGTATATTGGTAAGCGCACGTGCGAGCCGGCGCAGGCAAAGAATAAAAGTCCGCCAGTCTCAAGTCTCCAGTATCATGACTGTGGATGTTAACAAGGTGGGGGGGTTCTCTTAAAAAGGGTCACAGGAATTGCTAGGGGCTTGTTACCGGGCGACTCCTGGGCTCAGAGGCTTTGTGACACGACTCAGGACGTGCTAAATAGGTACCTACTTTTTATGCCACATTTGCATTGCTCTGAGAGCTGGCCCCACATCAGACAAGAAGTGCACCAGCACACTCGGCAAAAATTGGGGAGCCTGGTTTTTATGCAGCGCATACACAAATGCATACGCTGCATAAAAACTTTCTCATCACCGCCACAACATTGACGTCGATTCCCCAAGCTAGGTACATATGTACCTTATGTAAGGTACATACATTACCTAGGGGCGTGCACACAGCCGTACACGGCTATATACTACTACGTAGTGCCGTTGCTTCGGTGGATCCCTACCACAATCTGGAGCCTCTATCGACCTGGAGCTGCAGTTACATGAAGCGCCCAAGCAACCAAGGTTGTAGAGCTTGCCCGGGATCAGCCGAGATTTACACCTCAAGCTCTTCACCTAAACCCGCAAACTCTCACGAGACAAAACAGTATCGCAAACCGCCGGAGCCGAATCGACGCAGTGCCCCGTCGTCACAATGGCTGCAAACAGCTCTCAAGGCGGCGACGATGTGAGTTTACTTGCTGCAAGCTGGAGGCAGCATTTGCATTGGACTTGCTGGTTCGCTGACATGCGCTGAATGCTCAAACAGGCCTTTGAGGGTCTCCTCCGACGAGAGACGGCCTCGGTCGAGCAGAAGTTGGCTGCCGAGAGAGAACAAGCACAGGCACAGGCACGCAACATCGATCTCGTAAGTTGCTGAGCAGTTGGATTAGTCGTCGAGACTGCGACACCAAAGGCCATCATGCTAATACTCCCTCGAGTTGCAACACAATGGCACCCTCCCCGTCACTGTCTCGTCGGTGCAGGTCCATGGTGCCAAAAACACCCGCAAATCCTTCCTCGACCCTCTCTTCCAGCCATTGGTACACGGCAGCGCCAGCACTGGCTTCACCCTGGCGGAGATGCTGGAGGAGGTTGGACAGGTTGTGGGAAAACTACAAAAGTTTGACATTTTTCACGACCAAATACACGTACACCTGTCGCAGCCCTCCCAAACCGACCCTTCGACCTCTCCGACCGATTTAGACATTGCGCTGCGAGTACGCGAGAAGTCAAAGGTCTTTCTCAAGACGGGCACGGATTTGGGCAACACGGAAGGCTCCGCATACGGTACTATGCACCTGCGAAACCTCTTTGGTGGCGCAGAGTCCCTATCTCTGAATGCCTCCACGGGCACGAGAACCCGCTCGGCATACAGCGCCGAGTTCAGCACTCCTGTGCTGAGCAACCCCGACCTGCGTCTGAGTTTCGAGGGGTTGGCGAGCAGCACACATAAGCCGTGGGCAAGTCACGAAGAGGTTGTCAAGGGCGGTGGTGTCAAGCTGAACTGGAACAATCCAGCAGGCGACAAGTACCAAGTAGGCTACACCGGTGCCTGGCGGCAGGTCACTGGCTTGGGTGAGCGAGCAAGCCCTACTGTACGAGGCGATGCAGGCGATTCTGTCAAGAGCGCCATCTCCTATCTCTTTACGCGCGACCGCAGAGATAATCCCATGCTGCCACAGAGCGGATACCTCATCAAGACGGCAAGTGAGATTGCCGGCTGGGGATCCTTGGGCGGAGATGTAGCTTTCGCAAAAAGCGAGATGGAGCTCGGCGGTGCTGTACCAGTGCCCGTGCCCGGGGTAAGCGGCTTCTCGGGCGTCTCGATAGGCGCTGGCTTCCGTGCCGGTCTGCTGTACCCACTGCCGCTGGGCTACGGCCTGGACGGAGCAAAACCGAGTCGCGTCAACGACCGCTTCAGCCTCGGCGGCCCAACAGACGTTCGTGGATTTACGCTGGGAGGTCTCGGCCCACGGGATGGTGGCGATGCCCTGGGCGGCGACGTTTTTGCCGCGGGAAGCGTGAACATGCTATTTCCACTGCCAAGAGCCGGGCCCGAGAGTCCTTTCCGGATCCAACTCTTCGCCAACGGCGGCCGCTCCGTGGCCCTGCGAAACAAGTCAAAGAGCAGGGAGGAGCCATTGGATAAAGGACTCAGCTCTGGTGCCGTGATGGACGGAATTGTATCAGCTACGAAAGATCTCACAACGGGATTGCCCAGCCTGGCTGTGGGACTCGGCCTGGTCTATGCTCATCCAGTAGCTCGATTTGAGCTCAACTTTAGCTTGCCCTTGGTGGTCAGGCGAGAAGAAGAGAAGCGCAAAGGTCTGAGTGTGGGAGTTGGCATCAATTTCTTGTAGTAGTAACTCTCTAATCCCAGAGCGTTCCTGTGAGACTTGCAAGTTGTAGATATTTGGGAGGTTCTGAACCCTTCACAACAACCCTCATCTAATGTAAAACTATCGGATATAAACCCATATCATGCGATGTTAATGGTCCATCGTTACCATGCTACGTGTCGTCTCGCTTCAATGACCACCATCGTGGAGTATTTGACCAGGTTCGACTGTACAAGTCTATTGTTTTCCGTGTTTCGCTTCCACCCTGGGCCGTCGGCACGGGCTACTCCTATGCTCGGAATTTCCGGACTTCCATTGCCCAGTTTAAAGACATGGCTATTAGTCATCTAATTCCAGCTCTTCGGATTTTCTTGGCTTTTTTTTTTTTTTTTGCACCAGGGAAAAGAAAGAAAGACGAAGAAAAGAACTCCCATTCACATCTGTCGGTTGAGCAAGTACCGAGCCATAGAATCACTACATATCTAGCACTAGGTAGGTGACTAGGACTGTTGTTTGTTGCAGATCGTGGGTGAGACCAGGGGCAAGTCACAGAAGACGCCTCGGCGTGTGGAGACGGTCAATGCCATACTCACTCGACGCTAGCTCGCCCGTGTCTGAGCAGTAGGAGAGGAAAGAGAGCTTTTCAACACCCTAAAGTTTTTTTTCTCTTTCCTTTCAAAAAATGTAGGGAAGGAAAATAGAATAAACAAATCACGCCTTGCCCCGTCCGCACACGAGATATTGCGGACGGCTACGTCTGGAGAGGTAGGTTGCAGTGTTTGTACTTTGCATACTATCCATGTATGTACCTGGGAACGCCGCCAATCTCAAGTGCCAGAGCCTCCTCAGCCAATGGTCAAATTGTATTGTCAACCTCTGACTGGATCTTTCCAGGAAAAGCATTTGCCAACCAGTTGACCATATGCACACATCATTGATGGGAGACTTGAATGTTTCTCAATACGGACGATGGAATCGCAATGCCCGGCTTAGAGGCTGTGCAGTCAAGTGCCGTGCTGATCACGACAGGCACCCCCGGGTCGATCAATCTGCAAGCGCTACCTAGACTGCATCATAATTCTAGAATACCGTTTCCTTTTGACCTTCTCCTCTGGCCCCGTAGTCAACGGCCCGTAGGTACATTAGGTTCAAGCTTCAAACAAGCTGCGGTCTTCCCGAAACGGTCCAGCAATATCAGACTAGACCATATTTTCTTCTAAAGGCAGCAGCAGGGTTTTGATTGCTCTGCGCGCTGCATTGGGCCAAGCAGTCTGGCCGTGAAGATCAGTCTGGTCCGATGCCATCATCTGAAATCTCGCAAACAGGTTGATTGGTGCTGTTGCTGGCACTGCATCCTGTTTTCTCCAATGCCATGCTGCTGTTTCTGCTCGAGGCTGCTATAGTGTCAAAACGTCTGGTCGTACCACTGAGTGGCATATCCGAGCCCCACGACTCTTGCCACATGTCAGGTCTGATCACTTTGCCCTACAGCAGCAGGAAACAATATAACATGATAAGTGACTGAGTTTGCTCACATTGGCGATTCTCTTCCAGAGCTGGATCTCTCTCCTCTTATCCCTTTTTTTCTTTTTATTCCCCTTACCTCTTCGCATCAAGGTCCTGGTCGACCTGAGCCTTGAAGTTCCGCTGTGCGGATATGCTTAACACTTGACGATATAGTTTAATTCGAGCTCGAATCTTACAGAGAGGTCGCCTGGTGGACTATGGATGAGAAAGTCCCCTATCTGGCTCGCTCCGAGTCTGTACAGAGTGATGAAAGCGATGATAGGAAGGTCATTGGGTCCACAAACCTGGTGGACGAGAAGTAAGCAACTTCTTGTATCATTCTTGACTTATATCAAATCATTCAGGAAGCATATACTCTAGGAAGTAATGCTACAGGATAGCAGATTTATCAAGAGGGGAACTGCTAACACGTATTGTTGTAGTGGCGAGATTCGTCTAATTCCGGTGAGTATTGGAGCCTTGAAATCCCAAATGGACAGTCGCTCATTGGTATTCATAGATGCCGACTCCAGACCCGAAAGGTGTGTTATCACTGACACCGAATCATCACGATTATTCCTGCTCACGTCCAAGTCAGATCCTCTTAATATCCCCGACAAACAGAAATGGCTGGCGGTTGGGATTTTGTGTTTCTGTGAGTTACAGCGGCTTCTTAAGACTTCATCAGATAATGGAAACCCCGCGCAGCAGCGCGTTGAAGACAACGCTCAGTGAGGTTTCCATCAAGTAGAATATGCTTCTACAATCATTCGCAATTTGCTGTCGCGGTATCTATCTGTCTATCCCTCGATGGCGGTGGTCGCGAGAACAACCACTGGGAAGCGGCTCGTTGTCAAGTAGCCGGCGGTGATGTGTGGCATTGTTTTGAGAACACGACGGTAACTAACATCACTTGACAGTCGGCTCGCTCGCCCTCAGCGCGGAAGTCATCATTGGTGCCTTGATCCCCGTTTTCTTGCTCGAGTACTCTGGCGTCGACCCCCGCTCACTAAACGACGTGGACTTTGTGGCCAACTCGCACGGGTCAATCAATTTCAACCCCCTATCCGTCGTCCCGCCAGGCATCGTTCCAGCCGACATTGGCCAGGTTTCCCTCTTGGCCACCATTCCGCTGCTCGCCAACGGCATTGCGTCATACTTCCTTGTTCCGCTGTCCATTGCTATTGGCCGACGGCCTGTACTCTTGCTCACCGGCGCACTTGCTTGGATAGGAGGCCTCTGGGCTGGGCTCAGCACCTCCTTGGAAAGTCACATGGCAGCACGCGCGCTGCAAGGTTTGGGCGCTGGTGCAGTCGAAGCACTTATACCGCTCATTGTCCAGGATATCATGTTTATCCACCAGCGCAACAAGGCCATGAGTGCCGTCATTAGCAGCCAGGGTATCGTCATCATTGCTCTGGGCATTGCGGCGCCCTATGTGGCGGCCAACTTCACATGGAGGATTCTATATTTTGCCACGAGCGGGTTTGGAGTTCTAGCGTGGGCGCTCATGATCGCCTTTCTCCCCGAGACGAGGTGGACGAGAGGCAAGGAAGAGCTGAGTGGGCAAAAGATTTATGCGCTTGCACCGGGCGAGCGGCGACCAAGGCTCGAGCCCGAGACATACGGACCAAGAACTATGTGGACAACGGTAGGAGTGTTCCAGTTTGGATTTGAGTGGAAAGAAGCTGGCAGATCTAGTAAGCAATTTGCTGTGTTATCCCTTACCTGTTTTGGGTTATCCCACAAGCATGGATTTCCTAGTGAGACACAATATTGCAACAGCCTTGCAGTCGTCTTTCCTTGAGAGAGCTATTTCGAATTCGTCGTCCATCTAGGAAAGACATTGCTGACACATAATACTGTAGTGCTTGATACTTTACGTACAACCCTGTTCCCGGCCATATTGTGGACAACGTTGGCGAACTCAGCGTTCGTGATTATCAATCAGGCAGCCCAGCAACTGGGGTCGTTTGCACTGCTAGCCCAGGGGTAAGAGATGACACTTATTTGCGGGTGTGTCACCATTATTTTCTCGTCCACGGTTGTTAATGTTTACCTCCAGGTGGCAATTTCAATACACGGGCCTCTCGGTGATTCCAACTGTCGCTGCCACTATAGCCGTCTACTTTCTCGGCGGGCCAGTGTCTGACAAGATCTCTTTATGGATCACTCGCCACCACGGCGGAGTTCGCGAGGCTGAATTCCACCTACCGAACCTGATCCTGCCATTTGTTTCGGGCATCTTGGGCACCTTTATATTTGGATATGCTGGACAAAACAACTTACACTGGGCTTTAATTCTGCTAGGTGCCTTCTTCATCATTTTCGCATTTTTGACGGTGCTCACCGTGGTCAATGTGTTTGTGGTCGAGTCCTATCCAATGTGGGCAGGTCCCGTATTGGTCAACGTGAGCAGTCTCAGGATTGTGATTGCATTCTTCCTCAGCAGCCAAGTCACAGTTTGGGTTGTGGAGAAGGGCATCCTCAACACGTTTGCTATCTATGCCGAATCTTTGATTGTTCTCAGCCTGGGCTTACCGATACTATGGTTCTTTGGCAAGAGCATCAGGATCTGGACGGCGGGCCGCGTTGAAGCCGTGGCCACGGAGAAGCTGAAGAGAGTTGATTCAGTATGACTGAAGAAATACTCACTATAATATACATATCATCATTGGAGCTAGCCAGTGGAGTTTCACAATCCAACAAGGATTTGTCATTTTCAAACCAATATAGCACGAACGAATCGCTTGTGACTAGATGCCCATTTTCGACATTAAGAAAGCTGCGCCGTCTACTCAGGCCGTCATGGTTTCATTACTACCGAGTGAGCTCAAAACCATCTTCATCAGTACGGCCATCCCCATGCTGTGTACCGCAGGTGAATAATTGCTGTAATTTCTTTCGTGTCTTAAAAAAAAAAAAAGCTTTGGACCATATATTCTCATATGCATTCATGTTATTTCCAAACAAACATCCTTCCGATCCCTGCTACCTCAGCCTAGGAAATGAGCTAGAACCGAGTCCTCGTTGACTTCTGTGAGCTGTGTCACACGTGAATGTGCAGACATAGTCCAGATCTTGTTGCTGGCGCGGCATTACTCCTACTTGGCACTGCTCTGTGTGCTCTGGCCTGCCTGTGATGATGTCTTGGCCTGGGTAGTAGTCTGCGCGCCAGCGTTTTGCTGCTTGGCGGCCGAGGCAGCAGCAGCTTTCTCGGCTTCGCGCTTGCGGATGTAGGCGTCCTCGGCGGACTTCTCGCGAGTGTTGAAGGATGGGATGTTCATTTTTCGAAACTTTACTTTGAGGGGGGTATAGTGTATGCGAAGGATGCCGGATCTTATGTGTCTGAGATGGAGGAGGTTGTAAGTGATGGGTTTTGGTGTTACAATACAAGACACTTGTGGGCTCTGGAAGAATACAAGAACTTAAATGCCTAGATTGGCAACTTTGATTCAATTACTGTCATGATCCTGTCCAATTATTCGCAGTTACTTGCGCGGGAAGTATTTGACGTCATAGCTCCCGGCTTGGCTTGGATCGTGAGCCGCAGCGATCAATCAACCAATTGTGAAGTGGCGGGGCACTTGGCACTTGGCACTTGGCAGATTGTCTGTCTAGAAGTCGCCTAGCTGACCGTTGGAAGGACCACTGTAGATCTCCCTTCAGCAGGCGTACAAGGGCTGCGGTCCCTAGGTAGTTAGTTGGCTTGAGCGGCCCGACGCGCCCGCCTGAGTCTGCCCCTCCCCTCCCGCATACCGAAAACCAACCAACGGATAAAAGAAGGAATTTCTACCTGCACGCTCTCGCAATAAACCCATATGTCATGCCTACCTAGTAGGTATTATGTCTGACTGATGACTAAAGATCCATGCGTATGGCACATGTTTCGAGTTTGAATTGTTCCTACGTTCGGTACATTATAATTAATTCGATGTGATCCAAATGCAAACTCACATTACATGCCCACCTGCAGTCTTTACGAAATGTAAGCAAGATACATATGTAAACACTGGCTCAGTAAGACTGCTTTTTGGCTATGGCACATGACAATTATGGACGGCGTTGCATACAGTCCGCTGTCATAGTTGTCATCTTTATTAATTTTGTAGTTTGTTTGCTTCGTAATCATTCCCGGCTCTTCGCCTAACATACAATTCTACGGGTATTTCATCTCCTACCCGGAGACTCCAGCTGTCCTGCCACGGCTCGACCTAGGAAGCGATGGAGAGTATGGTCGAGTCACGTGGCGGTAGCCAGCTGTGACTCCCACCGCGGATACCGAGGCATTTATGGACTTTATACGCATCTATGTAGCGTGTACATACATATCAAGTTTCTGCTGCGACTGGTATCGCCACATATCTACAAAGCCTGGACACGGGCCAAGACCTCGTCCTCGAGAGGGTAGCCCTCGCCGATAATAGACTTGGCGTGTGCCGGAATGAGCAAAGCCTCGTCAATTTCCTTGTACTTGCTGCGCTCAATGTAAATGACGTGGCCGTGTCTCGACTTGTCGACGATGAGGAGACCGGCACCACGCGCCACGGCCTCGGCGGGCTGAAGCTCCACCTTGATCGCGTCCATGAGGCCCTGAAGGTTGGGCAGAACCTGGCTGTCGGTCCAGGACGGTGCAAGCGTGTTGACCCGAATGGGGAGACCAGCAGCGCTAATGAGCGCGGTCATGCTTCGGCCCAGGCCCAAGGCACCGTGCTTAGCCGTTGCTGTTGGTGGTACCATAAGTCAGTCACATATATCTCGAATATATATATATATATATATATATATACAGGAAAAAAGACCAAAGATATCTTCAAACTCGGGTGACTGGACAGTAAACATACAGTAGTCGACGGCACGCATGCGCTGAATACCAGTGGAGGAGGCCATGATGACGATGCTGCCCCCCTCTGGCTGCTGTCTCAGGTAGTAGATTGCCAACGTGGTTGTGTTGACAGCACCCTTCAGAGCCACGTCAAACACGGCATGCGAAGGCTCCTTGGGGTCACCATTTGCATCAACCTCGGTGCTCAGATAGTCGGCGCGAGGGCCAATACCGGCATTGACAAAGACTGAATCGATCCGGCCGTGAACCTCCTTGGCCTTCTTGAAGAGAGCGACAAGGTCTGACCAGACAGTCACGTTTGTCTGCACAAAGGTGAACGATCCAGTAGCTGCCTCCGGGTGTGGCTGGATGTCACCGCTGACAACCAAAGCACCGTAAGACAATAGGAGCTTTACTGTCGCCAAACCAATACCGCTAGAGCCACCTGTAGCACGGAAGAATCGATGCATTTAGTATGAGCACTCCTGGTGGACTTTCTTTGCCGGCGAGCTTCACCCCCCGAGCTTTGCTACTTACCAGTCACGATGACGACCTTGCCCTTGAGGCCGGTGAGGTCCTCGTCTTTGATCAGAATTTCGGCCATGGCTGAAGTGTTGTAGGGTAACTATTACTGTACGAGGGATTGAGAAAAGAGAAGTTGGTTGGATTCGCTTGAAACAAGAACAGCTGGCAGTGTCGATAACGATCTTAGAAAGGTGCCATGTTTATATGTAGTTCCTACGTACCCAGTCCGGTAGGTATTCCATTCACAGATAGGTAGTAGGTAGTAGCTTCACCTGCTCTGATGGTGTTATGGGTCGGTAACCACAATGGGGCAAGTTTCTGAGCGACAGACAGGGGGGTCTTCCATGTCAGGGAGTTGCACATCGTCTCGAATCTGTTATGCGAGACAATCCACCCCGCAGCACTGTCCAGGCCTACCTAGGGAATTTATGTACTATGCCATGAGGCGTCTGGCATCTCTACACTCATTGAACGAGTGCATTGGATTGTGATTGTGAGCCCTGTCTTCTGCGTACGTGCATGCACCTCTCTGTACGCTACTGTGTACTACTGTCATGTAGGCTTCGAAAGCACGCCTCTGTGGGCCTCACTCGAGTGCCTCGACGACGCGACGATCACTCGATAGATCAGGGTCTACTGATGTACTATTCTGATGAATATGGATAGAGACCCAATGTCCTGTGCTTCCATGGGCTGTACTGTGCAGTGTGTATGCCGACTGTACTTCGCGTACTCCGTAAACCAGACAAGTGTGTGGATTACTGCAAGATCATTGGCATACAGCAAACACACACACACACTACGTACCTACGGGTAAAGGTCCCATGTTTTCCAGAACCATTGGTATTTAAAGAATGCTGGAGAACCGGTGTCGTGGACGGGAAACTCGGCCATACCCGTCGCTGATCGAGTCGACGGCAATTTCGACAGCGGGGAATGACCTCGGGAATACCCTCGATTGATTGCGCGAGTGGCCGTTGAGAGGTGGTTGTCATCTGGGATCCCATTCGTCGATCGATTTTCAGAGCGAGCAACGAGACTTTCCGTCATGAAGATCAATTCAACGGTCACGCTGTGGCATGGCAGCCCCTGCCAGATAAGCGGGAGGAGTATTTGATGGTTGATGGTCTCGACTCTGCATAGTACATACGTAGCACTCTGCTGCTGCTGCTGCTGCTGCCGCCCTGGCTGCTGCACACATCAAGGTCGTCCTGGCTAGTATCAATCTGGTATGGAAGAGGTAATGTACTGTGTAGCAAGCAGCTTGATCAATAATGAGTGCGCTAGGAAGTCAACACCTACCCGTGGACCAGTACATACCTAGGTGAGGTTGTTACTTGCACCTTATTCACGTGCCACCAAGTCGAGGCTGGCGCTTCCAGCCCAGCACATTTGTGGCTTCAGGGGAGAAAGTTGAGGTTATCATTCGGTTGCAAGTAAGCGAACTTTTGACCTTTTTAAATTACCTCGGTACGTACTATTTTAGACAATGGCAGATGTCGACGGCTAAAGTTGCGTAGTAGTATTATCAATCGGCAGTTTCCCTGTGTTGATGCCCAGAAGCCCCAAAGTGAGTCCCAAAGGCATACATACATAGTACACTTCGCATGCCTATTACCGAATGTTATTAGCTGGGTGTGTAATCTGAGTACTGGGGTCTTTCCTCCAGACCCTGTCCTAGATGCGTGCTCCATTATGTCCTTCTGCCTTAGTAAAAGGGGTTGGGCCCTAGTTAGCGGTGTCTAGCGTTACAATGTTAGGATATTTGCACTAGAGTAGTACTGTGTACTAGAACGAAGGGGAAGTAAAGGAAAAAAAAAAAGGAAACGGGTTGCGATCTCGCTTGCCGATTGCCAGGGATTAACAAATCTCGAAACTGGAAGCCTGCAAATGTTGTATCTATTATGTAAGCCCATGATACAACACATGAAGAAGCATCACCATAAAAAGACAAGATAATTATATCAGCGCAATGCCGTCAACAGACGGAAAGTTTCAACTCTAGCGCTGTCTGATAGCTCAACTTTTTTCTTCCGGGAAATAACAAATAACCCCATTGAGATCTTCTCGTTACGAGCAGTTTGGGACCAACTATCTAATGTGCCTACATACCTACCTACTCACCTGCCTACAATTTAGTGGAAAGCTAGACATCTTGTCAGGGAATTGACTGGTCTCGACCTGTCGTCGTCAGGCACATTACTACGATATATGCAGAAGCGGCCCCGTCTGCCGCCTGGCGGTCGCTATTCCCACCATTGCTCTCGGAGGGCTTAGTCACTAGCCTGGCCCTTAAGATGGTTGTAAAACTTCCCGTGTGCTAGCAGCCTGTATATCAAACGGCCTCTAACTGCATTGATCATGATCAAGTACACGATCTACGGTCCTAGGCACTACACTACTACTCAGACATCCAATAAACTACCCATGGTTCCTCTCCGTTGAAGAGTTCTGCACCAATTGTGATGGTATCAGCCACTGTCTATCACGTCCATCAGTGGGAATGGGTTCTTCGTTAGCGGGGCTTCATTAGTGGCCAAGCCCTGGTGTCGTCCCACAAACAGAGAGGAGTCTTAAGCGAGATGGAGAATATTTACTGGCACCTGGCTCATTTACTCACCGTATCCCGCGTGGATGGATGGTGGAACAAAATCTTGTTTGTCACGAATTTTGCGAACGGCATACCGTTGCTGAGAGCGATCGACCGTCGCTCTCTTTGCGAGTCGCCGAGTGTGGTGAGCCGAGTAAGCGCGAGCTGCCGGCAAAAAAGACATCGACAACAATATGCCTCCCAGATTCTATGGATACCCGAGTAGAAATCTTCTACTCTTGGATAATGATTTTTTCGACCGTATCATGGGCGTCACGTCCAATGCCACGCCTTCACCAACTCAAGACAAATGAACGTAGTATTAGTATGAGGTTGACCAGCTGATTTCTTCATCACAACTGTCTGATCATCTTGATTCATGAAAGCCGAAATGATGCCACTGATGACTTATAGTCTACAGGCTACCGGTAATCGCTTCACGCAGCCCCCATTGCCCTGCATCCTAGTCCAATTCGAAACTCTTTCCTCAAGGATCATTCCGTGCTGCTGCAGAAATGCTACCACGAAACCTTGAAAGGGCCTTATCACATGATATCTCTCAATTGTGTACATACACAGTAGAGCTGGCGAGGCTGGGTCAAGAACGTTCACAGCCGGCTGTCGCTGTAGCTATTCGGGATCAAAGATGCAATACCTGGTCTGATCCCAGCATCATCGTGGTTCTCGAAATATAACTGCCTACATATGTATAGTACATACACAGTAAATTTTTTCGGAATTGGGATCCTGTGCCAACCAATAACGATAGATTACAAATGCAGAATGCCTAGAGTAGATACATATTACACGTAGCTGGCATTAGGCTTTGCAAGAAAGTCCAGGAGAGACAGGAGCTCCTCCTCCGGCCTTGTCGAAGGCGAGGTGTCCCGCGCCGGAGCGGAAATGCAGTCGAGGCTTCAGATGCATTTGGAACAGAGGCAATGGAAGTAAGCCGCGAAATTGGGGCCGCGGGAGCCGGGCATCAAAGCAGGCCTGGGAAGTGGAATCACCAAGTATATTAACGGCATGTCAAAACATGGCGACGAGGGTGGCACGTTTCAAGTAATACTAGAGAACCCCCGTATGCCAAGACTGGACAGTATACTAGCTGGTTGGCGAGGGG